CAGAATGTGTTTAAGAAAGAATGTGTTAAGCTCCACAATCTAAAGATAAAAAGACTAGGTTCAGAGTTGGAGTAAACTAACCAATTAAAACAGATTGTTGTAATACCTATGAAAATGAAAAATACTTAATGATGAGGCCTCCAATCATTTAACCCTTTAACTATCAGAAGTGATGAACAGGTTACTTCTCTCCACAACATCCACACATTTCCCAGCAAACAGGTTATGGGAATACTCAAACTTATCAGGCAGAAGCTATCTTAATCATCATCAAATTCTTGTAACTAATTTACAAGAAAATGTGTAGAGCTGGAGGGGAGAATTAACATGAGATCTTATGAGTGTAACAGTTTAAAGTGGATTTCAGGAGGTTCCTTATCAGAATAATAATAATCTAAAACATTGACAAACAAGGACTAAAACAAAAATCAGTGATCTAAAAATGTGGAAAACTAAAAAGTTGTGGTTTTAAGTAACTTTGGGCATTGGTCTCCTGCATTCATTTGGCAATAAAGTCCAATTTATACTCTATAAAACCCTGAAGTGATTTCAAACAAATCTCAGTGTTTCACCTACCTGAGAAATAATCAACAACTGATATATGGCAAAAAATCGCATGTAGGAACATTTGGGATCCATCCAGCGCACATGAGTCCAACTGAAAGAGTCAAAATATCACTTAGTTATTCCATTGCTACCTTAGTAACATGTCCAAAATCTGCTCTCCTTGATGGTAAAATGACCGATGAATCTTTCTTGGATATTAAAAAAAGTAAGCATGAATATCAAGTTACATATTTTCTCAAACTAAGGAGATGATCACATTTTCTATTCCAAAATGCAGGAACAGATGAGTCCTGTAAAGAAACAAATAAATGTTGTCCATGTTCAGATTGAGAATTAGCTCATGCTATAGAAATTTGATCAGAAAATTCTGCATACAAGCCAAAACATTTTCTGATCTATATTGCCTTATGAAAACAATTAAGACAAACCTTGCAGGTGTAAACTGCATAGCAGCTCGACGCAGTTTTCCAGTGGTTGTCTGAATATCCCTTTAAAAATCAGAGAGCCAAAAATTCAATCTCATCTGTGTGAATGTAAACTTAATCTGATACAAACACTCAAAAAAAATTTTTACATAAAATCATTGAGTAACATTAAACATACTTGATACTTTCCCAGTGGTAGTTGCGCATTTCCAGTTTTTTGCACACATACAGTCCAAAGTGGATTCCTAATCCATTACAGATCAGGAAATCTAACAACAGTGCATCCCACCAGCATTCCGCAAAGTTGGGCAACAAGTGAGAAAAGAATACCTGAAATGGATTATTCATAATATATAAATTATGTGATAAGCTGAATTAAACAGTACAATTTGATTGGTTTTTAATTATGATAGACTAGAGGACAGACACATGGATTATGTCACAATTCACAACTTTCTGCTAATTTATTGCTTATTCATCAGATGAAACAAATAAATTCCATGTGACCCTGTGCCTTTTCAGTGATAGATCATGAAACATTTCAAAATGTGGTTAGAACATAAAAGACAGACTTGGCTTTGCCTTTTGTAAAACTTTTTTTTGTCTTACCACATTTTGACAATGCCTGTGACCTGTTACTTAGGAGACACTGACAACAAAATGGAATCTGTTTTTTGCTATATAATGAGCCAATTGATTGGTTATCATCTACATGTAAAATCTACTGGAAGATGGTCACATAAATGATATCACCATTAATAGGTTTGCTCTTTCACTATTACAAAAAAAATTGACTCCATGTTTTCATGGGCCTGTACAGAAACACATTGGAGAGGACATCAAAATATGGTAAGATCATCAGTGACACACTCAGCTGCATCTGCTGAGCCACGTTTTTTTTCTTATCACATTTTGATGTCATCTGTCATCTATTACTGAAGAGATGCACCGCAAAATGGAATCGATTTGTTGAAGTTTAATACCTCAGTGACCTCCCATGTTATGCTTGCAATCCACAACAGCCATGCATTGCGAATAAGTAATGCTTTCAGAGCCCAACCAAAGAAATGCGCAAAGGCAAAGATATCACAGTGACCCCACAGTCGGGCCAAAGACACCTGAGAACAGTTAACAGCATATTCCTGTGACAAGAAAAAACAAACAAACAAACAGTCAAACTAATAAACAACTTCTAAAACAAATGGCTGGTTGTGGACTATGAGTAGAAAGACTGTGGCACAACTTTCCAATTGCAGAGTGAAGTAAAGCAAAACTAAAGCAATCTCACAAAACTCCAGAGATTCAATTGAAAACTGTTGTAAAACCACTCAGTAAACACAGGAATCTAATTATGAGGAACAATTTTAAATCTCATCTCTGTAACCTTTGTATCTGGTCCTTCATGGCGCAATTCAGGGTCAAAGAAAAAGAGAATATTTCGGAAGTCAGCACGAGTTTGGAACAAAGCAAACGCAAGAAAACTCATGTACAGAACACTGGCACCTAGTGAAAAAACAGACAAATAAAAAGATCAGTTACACAATTTATATCATCAAAAAGAATTAAAAAAAAAAGAATTGGGTGAAAAAATGAAAAAACCTCTCACCAATTACTTATATCACAATTATATTCATTATCTCCATATAAAACACCATGGTAAGCACGTTATCATCTGATTATAATTGTACAATTAGATGATTGATTCAACAAATTATTTTACATTGCAATAGTTATTTGAGACTGTGCATATCACTAACAATTAATACAGTTACAATTGCTTTTTTTCCCTCTGCCAAAAAGTTTGCTGCAATTTAGTTAAGTGAACATAGTAAAGTCGCAGTGTTATGTTTGCTTAGAAGATCTTTGAAACTATTTACAAAATCTGCGTTTAGACTTTGTTAGAAATATATCTGTACAATCCTCTTACCAAATATCATTCTCCAAAGAGCAGGATGAGGTCTGATGAATGGACCTAAAAAAAAAAATTTGAGGAACAAAATTTCAAATTAGCTAATTTTTAGGGCTTTATAGGGAGAACACAAACCTTAAAGTTTTAGGTACAATTTTGCTTTAAGTGATGCAAAATTTCCAGAACAGGAATTTCATTTGAAACTGGGTTCTTAGAAAACTCACAAGAGGATCAGTTTTTAAAAGCAAAATACAAGTTTCTCAAGGACACCTCACTTCTTGAATAGGCCATTTCGGTTGACAAACCCTTTACACCCAAACATCAATACCAATACCAATATTCTTCACACTGTTCCCTCTACATGTTCTATGGTTATGACAAGGATTAAATTTATTTGACAATCTGGAGCTTCTTAAATTTGTGATCATTTCCATTTTCTCATGACCCTTACTTTTAATTCAAGGGTGATACTATAAGGAGAAACTAGAAGCCAGTCACTTATTTTATCTAGTAGATTACAATAGTTACCGTTTGGCATGACAAGAAGACTGAGAACAAGAAAAACAACAGCAAGGGAAACCATCCCACTCCAGATATTCTCTTCACGAGTGGCATCTGGATTTCTTTGAATAATGAAAAGGCCAATAAGCTGTGTTAATTCCTATCTCATGATACAGAAATAAATCAATTGTGCAATTTACTGTAGTTACTCAGTCTGGAAGTTTAAAGGTTAATTACTCATAAAATTTTGTACAACAATACAGTCACTATTAGGCAAAGCAGAGATCCTCGCAGGTAAGGTGGAATTTAGGAAGGTGCAAAAAAGAAGCTGGAAAGAATCAGGCTTGGACAGGATTTGAAATGTGCCGCGCAGATGCTAGTTAGCCACTACTGCTAAATGTGCTACCAAGCCATAGATTGGGAGTGAGACACATTTTAAATGACTGTTATTTCCCGAGAAGGAATCTGATCATTACATTTAATTAAAAAATGAGACAGTCTCTAACAGCCATCATTATTACTACTTGGTCTGTAATTTTGAATTTTGCTTAGATGACAAAGAAAATTTCATTCAGTTGACAAAGACAAGTGACATAGAAAAAAAAAGTTGAGAGAGAGACATAAAAGTAACTGATGCTCAAAATTAATCAAGTGTCACTTTTAAAATTCATTTTGACAGAAAAAAGTCTGATTATCAACAACAGGAAACAAAGCATAATAAGCACAAAGAGCAAAGTACCAGTTACATGTAGGTATGACAGAATGACAGGTGTCAAGTGTCAAAGTCATCAAGGAATTGCATCCATCTTTAATCTAATTTAAAATCTCATCCAAAGTGTAGTTGACCTAATACTACATTTTATATAAACAGATCAATTTTTTTCGGCCATTATAATTTTACTTGTTTAAATCACGTGTAGATTTTCGAAAGCCATCTGTTAATTTCCACCTGTTAAGATCCACCAAATAAAATAAAATGAACGCAAGAATAAGCGGATTAAGTTTAGAGGATACATTCATTGAAACAAGCCGAGATCAACAAAGATTGTTCAGCGAGACTTATGCCAACTGAGTGCAGTAAGAATGCATATAAATGAGGCCATGACATCCATAGCACCGTGAAATTATGACTCAATCAACCAAAACTTGACTTTGAATCCCACTTAATTTTTTTTGAATCTGAACATAAAAAAACTGTGTTAAAAATTCATAGTTTCTTTTTGAATTGAGAAAAGTTGAGATCCAAGTGTATGTTGCGAAGGAAAATGATGACAAAACAGCCCGCCCAGAAAAATATGACATGTGCAAGTAAAAACCTCACCTGGTGAACGCTGAATATACAAGGTAAACAAACAGGCACGCTAGAGCGGTGATGGACCGTGGCTTATAGAAAAACTCTAGGCTAATATCTTCCACGATCTGCTCACTGGCATCTTGATAATCGTCGGTGGAGATTGTAGAAGTTGTCGAAAAAGTTCTTTTGCGGCGCCGCGGACTCCGATCGTCCGCCATCTTATTTGCATTAGAAAATTTTACTGGGAGTTTATTGCTCTCCCCAGTCTCTCGCCTAATTATTTCCCTCTCCCCAGACTTTTGTTTTTCCTTTTCGGCCGAAACAAATATGGCGGTGAGTGTCCTCCAAAAGTGGTTTTTAAAAGAATCCGCTTACATCGTTCCATATGATTCCCTGAGGTCTTTGAAAACATAATTTCTTCATAAAAAAATCACTTCTCCCTTCAACTGCCTTAATTTTTTGGCCCACATTCTAGGTGTTAACCACGATACAGGAAAAAATTTTGATCGATACCTATATGTATTTTTTATTTCTCTTCCGTACTATGAACAATAGTGTTTTGATAGTTTGATTCTGAACAAGCTTTTGACTCTTTAATGAGCCAAGTTGAGGCGAAAATCGTGATCATCTCAATTGTTGCTCCCGCATACCCTGCTGGTTTTATTGTCACCACCACTGAAAGAATTAAACACTGGAATACTAACGTTCCAGATTATGATACATTGGACATTTATTACCAATTTATTATCACACAACCATTTAGTGTCCGTGTTTAAACAAGGATAAAAAAATGTTCTTGTTTTTGTTCAAATATTATTGTACCTGTCTTCTTTTACTATCATTGAGCTAAGACAATATAAGTTAGAAACTTCATGCGACCTGTTCAATATCAGCCAGTCTGCTGGCAGTCATTCTTTACACCAATAGCAAAATGAATTGGTCATACAGCGTGATTTTTCACGTGAAAATAGTCCTGAGAAAGGTTTCAAGCAGTAGCAATCACTGATGTTGCAAGAATCGGAGTGAAAATCGTGATATGAGACGTATGTCATTAGGAGTGACTGAGGTGGGTCATTGGCCACTGTGTCCCACTAAATCACAAACACAGTTGCCAACAGAAATGCAACATATCTTCACTCGTAGTTTAGCACAGAGTTGATTCTCATTGGTTGGTTTGGTTAACAGGTTCAGGCCAAACAGAATCCCATGAAGGAACTGCAAATCAGGAAGTTAGTTCTAAACATCTGTGTGGGTGAGAGTGGGGACAGACTGACACGTGCTGCCAAGGTTCTTGAACAGTTGACTGGGCAACAGCCAGTGTATTCCAAAGGTACAGAACATTTTGATTTTACAATTGTAACTATAATAGGGGGAGAACCTATAGTCATCACTTTAATTGTCAACACATGTTGCCAACTATTGGTCAGAATGTGTGATCTTATCAAGTAACTGTTGTTCATAAGATAACTTAAGAAAACTTTAAGATAACTTGAGTTATCGTCTGAGTTCATTATGTAAATTGGCCATTGTAATGAGTTTCCAAAGCTATTATGGCAAATTTGCATAAACAACTCAGTTGTTAAAACCAAATTATCCTCTACTGACTTAGCACCACAGTTTCTTGAGAAACTTACCTGCCCTATTCATACCTGGCTCAGGTTGAATTAGAACTGATATTTACTTTTCAGTGATTACAGCTTCTGAACTAAATTTTCCATCTAAGCGTTGTTTAAACTATATTCATCTTGTATAGCTTAGTAAAAGTCAAAGCCAAACTAAGGGACTTAATGATATAGGGATATAACAAGAATTTCATCTCGTCACATATGATGTTAAATTTTGTGTTTTGAACATCTGCATCCTGTTGTTATATTCCTTAAAATACAGATTTTTACATCAGTTTGAAGTACCAATAGGCTGAAAAAATGTAGCAGAGCATAATATTCCTTTCTGTAGACCCTGTAATTATAAAGATCCGATTTAAGATAGAGAACTTTTTTTGTTTAGCTCGCTACACAGTGAGGTCTTTTGGTATCCGAAGGAATGAGAAAATTGCTGTCCACTGCACTGTACGAGGTGCCAAGGCTGAAGAGATCTTGGAGAAGGGATTGAAAGTGAAGGAGTATGAACTGAACAAGGAGAACTTCTCTGCCACAGGTTTGATTTTGTAAAATTTAGCTTTTTTATTAGGTATTTAAGAGTAGTGATCAAAGGCTTATGGTTAGCAACTTGGCAAAGACATGATAATAATGGCTCTTAAGAAACTTGTGGGGTGGATAAATGGATTTGGTGTTATCAGTTAAATTTCTGTTTTTGTCAGATTTTTTCACTATGAGCAACTGATTTATATTGGATTGTGTGAATCACTTTATAGACTGCTGAAATGGAAATTTCATGTTAGAATTATCACAAAGAAAAAAAGTAGTTTTTCATGAACATAGGATGATGAAAAAAATCTGGGGTTTTCAGTAGAGTCAAGCTTTAGACCTTTGTTTTTCAAGGTCCTGTGGTCTGCCATGGGCACTGATAAGCAATTATGAAAGCAGCATATTGATCCAAATGTTAAAAAAATAAGTTATCTGCCATCTTTCTCAAACCAATTTGAAACATTACAACTACTTAACCCAACTATGCTGTAGGAAACTTTGGTTTTGGAATTCAAGAACACATTGATCTTGGCATCAAGTATGACCCAAGCATTGGTATCTATGGAATGGATTTCTATGTGGTTCTTGGACGTCCGGGGTTTAATGTGGCCAAGAGAAAAAGAGCTAAGGCTCATGTTGGTGCTCCTCACAAGATATCAAAAGATGACTCTATGAAGTGGTTCCAACAGAAGGTATCTTTTAAAACCTTTACACCCTAACATCAGTTTGCAAGTTCCTCATACAATTCTCTTTAAATTTCCTGTGGTTCTTACAAGGAGAATTTATCTTTATGATCAAGAGCTTCTTGATGTGGCAATCATCCCTTTCTTCTCATGACCTTAATGTTTGATTCAGGCACCATACTGTTAGGAGAAATTAGATGCATATCACTCTTAGGGGTTCAGGGTTAAATTCTCTTGCTGGTGAAGTTTTCAGTTGAGTTTTAAAGGAAATGCAGGATAACATTGATTTTAAAGTACTTTCTTTCTTTTGAGATAATTTGGTTTTTATAAAATGTGCGGATAATGTTAATTGATCATCATGAAGAGTTAAGCTGACAATTATTTGCTCTGACTAATGGCTAATGCTTGAAATATCAGCTTTAAAAACTCTCAACAGTGGCCATTTTCATTATTAAACCAGTTGATAAAACTAAATTATCTTGTATCACCCTCCCCCCCCCCATTAAATTGGCACCACAGCTTCTCAAGAAACTTACCTTCACTATTACTTAGTTCTCAGTCTCCTTCGCAGCCGTTTCTAGAGATAGTTTTGTCTGTGCTGATTTGGGACTAGACGTATTGTTCTGTTTCTTGTTGTGCAATTGGTAATAATTGGTCTTTTTTCTTTCTTTTCAGTTTGATGGAATCCTTCTTAACCCAAAGAAAAAATCCTGAGCTATGAAATAAACAGAACTTCCATCAGACTGTTTTGTTTTGGTTTTTAAACTTTATTCAATATGCATCTTCTCTATATTCTTCTCTATGTATTTCCTTTTGAACTGATAAGGAGAATTGGTTTAACAATCAAAGCTTCTTGGGTTGTTGATCATTTCCTGTATTCTCCTGATCTTAATGAATGAATTGGTAGTATTGCACTTAGAAGAAATTAGATGCTGGTCACTCCTATCATTGAAAACAACATACTTTATTGTTGCTCCAGATATTCTTTATTTTGATAATGATTTTGTGTCTGGTTTTTTCAAGAAAAGAAAGATCTTAAAAGGAGAAATCCCACAAAAATCTAGAGAACTGAGGGACAGGTTGCATATTTTGGATTACTCATTCAAACTTTGTCTGTTTCCTGGCTTAATCAGCTGCAGAAGGTGGCTTAAAGTCTCTCTTGCCAAAGCACCCGTCTGAGCTGGGAATGTTTGTGTTCTGGGTGTTCTGAGAAAGCTCTCAAACATCGTGACTAGTATCGAGGGCAGATCTTCATTAAGATATCAAGAGTTTGTTGTTGGAAAAAATTCCTATACACATACTTAGGAATGGTTCCAAACACTTTGTATATCGAATTGATGCTGGACAGGAAGTGTCATTTTTCCTCGTTGAAAGGTTCATAAAACAAATTTTATAGATTAATTTTATTAGGTTGCTTTTGTTAGGTAAACTTTACACTCTTAATACACACTGAGTACTGTTATTGAAGCATTTGTCTTTCTCATTAGCCAGTATACATTATTTCATGTTATCTCTTCAACAGCTAAACATGTTTTGTTAAACTGGTTTTCATTGAATGAAAATTATAAACAGAGAACTGAAAAACTTGATTTTCCATTGGATTAAGTAAACGACGCGAAAGCTATGAAGTAAACTGTGTTTAACAAAACAACTTTTAAACATGTTTAAGCTTTGGTGTGAATGGGGCATAAGTAAACGACGCGAAAGCAGTAGAAAGAGAAAATCAGGGAGAGGGGGTCTGGGTCAGGTCACGCAACGAACGCTTTTTTTACGCGACCTAACCTAACCCTCCCTCGGGTTTTCGCCTTGCCGCAACTATTGCGCATGGATTTCACGCCGTTTTATACGCTGAACATCAAGAACAGGCAGTTTAACTTGACGTATAATTTTCAGCGAGAAGATTTAAACTAGAGCGACTTGAAAGTTCATGAAAAAGGGCATAAGTTCAAATGATAAGAGAGCTCGTAATCTCTCTCATTGATGAAATAGTTTTCTGAAAGGGAAATGGAGGTCAAAGTAACCGTAGATTTGACTGCATTGCTTTTGATACTGAAAACATCTAACATACATCACAGCTAGGTAATCAATGGCTTTACGCTTTGCAGTCCACCGTGACGGGAAAACTAACATACGTAGTTTGTAAAAAAGTTTTTTTTTTCTCGATGAGATCAAAGTGCAGGGCTTGCCACAACAACCACCCCTCCACCATGCACTTCCGTGTTGTCACTGAGCGCAGTTTACTCAGCAGTGCTCAATTCAGTCAATAGAGGCTTCAGCGCTTTGCTGGATCCTTTTGATGTACCCAGGTAAGACATGATGGCCTTTTTGACATGGTAACGTGACTGCTCTGGCAAAGTATTCAGTTCTGTCAGGTTCATTCGCTGCCAATCATTCACTGTTCTAGAATGATCTTCTTTCATCCTTTTTTCAGCCTTCGATTCCTTTAGACGCTGAAGGTCACTTCTGAAAAACGAACACATTCGTGTCATATGTGAAGCTTGAATCTGAATTCAATTTAGCTCGGGTGGTTGAGCAGTTCAAATTATCGACGGGAAGTCACATTTTTTCTAGCCTGTGAAGAGGCAAGTCTACAGAATACGGCAGGTACATTCACGACTTCTTTTTAAACGTTCACTTTGCTCGCCAGAATCGCTGCAGCGCAGAGTACTTCAACCACAGCAACTTCACCTGGCACGCGTGAGTTCTAGACTTTAAGTTGTATTGCACGCGCTGCAAACGGCTAAAAATGGACCGGCTCAGATTCGTCTCGTCAAATTCTGCCAAACTCTGCAGACTGGTGAATGTCTTTCTCGTCTACCTTTCATTAAGTAGTAACTGGCGTGAGTGAAAGACTGCTTAGCACAAAACTGTTTTCTTCATGGCGAGCTCGTTGAGACTGCTCCTTTTTGCTCAAGATGTTTCACAGGATTATATTAAATAAATGTGTATAAGGTTCACAATGAAATGGGATTGGCTAGCGTGAAAGTAACAGTATCTCTCTAGAGAGGTAGAGTTATTAAGACACACTATCATCCATGCGGTTTGGTTTCTATTCTTTGTTTGGAAAAGAATCTTTTAGGTAGAGCCTGAGAGAGTCAAGATACCCACAAAAGTGTCTTATTGTGGCTGTCACAGGGAATTTAGAGGAAAGGAATTTACTGACCTGAATGGTTGGACGTGAGAGTAGTTCATTTTGAAATGTTGGTACTGTTTTTGTTGAAATCTTGGGTAAGCTACTTTTGGTATCGGAGGGAGCCTGGTACTGCCTTTGCTGCTTTCCTTTCCAGATACATTTTTGCTCCTTAAAACCATAAGGAAAAGAATAATGATTTACTTGTGACAAAGTATTGTAGCTAGGGCTTTCTAGTGTTTAAGAATGTGTGGTTTGTTTGATTATCAACACGATGTACTGGTTTCTTAGTTCATCTTAGATAAAAAGTTTAACACAGGGCAGGTACGTACCAGATTTGAGGCTTGTAAAAACAGCGTGGAATAACGGAGTCATATTTGGGACCTGGAAAACTGAGAGAAAGCTGAGTTAGTATGGAGAGGCCCCACGCGTGTTACTAGACTACGACGGAAATTAAGAGCGAAATTTTTTAATGAGTGCCATAAAACTAAAGTAATCGCATCAGCCAATGTGGACAGGGGTAAATGTTAGAGAGGGCCAATGAGAGATTATGGTAAAACATTCAAACTCTTAGAAGTGCGGGAAAACGCAATTGATCAAGTCGCGAATGGTTTTGTTTTTGGTTTTGATTGGTTGAAAAGTTGGCGTGATTTTTGTAGACCAATCATAGAGCGCATTAGAGTAAAAATAAAGTATTCCCGGTTAGCTTTTCAATCGCAAATCTCTACAAAGATAATGAAAACTTACTGATCCATCCTCCAGGACTCTTCTGGGTCTGAAAGTTCAACAAAACAACCCATTACATCACTGACAAATAACTCTCCACGTGACTCCGATGATGACTTCCACTCCGCGCGAGAGGCGTTATGACTTCCACTCCGCGCGACAATAGTTATACCCTACAACAGTCCATTCTAGGACTTTCTCAGCCGCATTATCAGACTGCACAATTTAGCGTTTTAACGCGTCCTATATGGAGCATTAAGCATTGAATCTTGAGTTTAGCCCCTTGACCATACTTGGTTTCTCTTTCCTTATGATACTTACCGACAAGTCGGAGAGTCGTGGCTCGTGTACCCCACCCCGGACGGGGAACATAGTCAACCTGCAACCAATAGTAGTATCTGCATTACGAACAGGGAAGGCTTTTAACCTATAGCTGAACGGTAAGAGAGTCACGCGTACATACTCCATTTCAACCAATCGAATAAAAGCTATTGCATACATATAAAAAAATCGTATCATATAATATGAAATGATGGAAAATAAGTACGATTTAAATACCCTTTGATACTATTTTTATTGATAATTATTTACCCACCTGGTCATCGATCATGTAGTTGACGATGTAAGTATTGTAATATGGCGCAAGATCATTGAAAACATCCGGTGTGTATGGCTTCCTAAAAAAAAAAATTTTTAAAAATGACGATAAAATCTTTCCAGGGATTGAGTTTAGTAAATCACAATATACCCCCCCCCCCCAAAAAAAAAAAAAAAAAAAAAAAAATTGTAAACTGCAGAAAAACTTCTAAGAAAGAACTATATCATCTTGCAAGGTCGATAAAGAAACACTGACAGAAGTAATTGTTAGTTGGCAATTACTAGAGTATTAGTAGATACTCACACTTCTGTTTTGCTGACCAAACCACTGTTGTCAATCATCTCTTTTTTCACCCGATGTAGCTCACAAAGCATCTGAGAGCGCATGCGTTTCTGTTCTCGTTTGGGTTCTTCTTCCTCTGACTGCTGCATTTCCGGTGCGTCTGAATTGTTCACGTGATACCACCAAATAAGGAGAATAAAAAATTTTTTACTTGTTACACCAAAATGAAATCCAAATAAATTATTTGTGCGATCTTCTATTGTCGAGTTTTATTCTTGTGTGTTGTGGCTAATCCTCTAGCCGCAACACATTACTGTGATCCTTTTCTTTCCAGTTGTTCCTGATTTTCGATTTAGCATGTCACTAGCACAGCGCGCGGAAGAATCAGACCAAGTCACGTTTACATAATAAGCTGAATTTCGTACAAATTTGATTGGTTCTTAGTTATGGTCTCTAAGAAACTGATGCATAGATGATGTCATCATCGACATTTTTTTCTTCTTTATTATATAAAACAAATAGACACCATGTGGGTCTGTTCAGTTACGGCAAAGTTACAAATATCAGTGACACATTCGGCTGAACCTTGTGTGCCACTTTTTTTGTTTTTACCACATTTTGATGTCAACTGTGCTCTGTCACTGAACAGACGCACGGTAAAATGAAATCTACTTGTTGAACTTTCAAACTGTTTGTGAGTCTCAATCTGTGAGATGTCCCTTGAAATTAAAACTCAAGATTGTAATTTTTCATGTGTTGTTGGTCTTATGGACGATGCGTGCGAGGTGCTATGTTGTACGGCGACAAAAAAATCCCTAGTCTAGACGATGCAGCTGCGAGGTGACACGTGAGCAGTCTAACGTTTACAAGTTTACATTTTATTTTTGTAAAATATGACTAAAAAGGTTTGTTTCACAAAGTAAAAATACACCAAAGTTTTTCCGGATGTAGAAGAGATATGGAATTTGATTAATGTGCGACGTCAGAAAACTGAACTACGATATAAGGAATCGAATGTATTGAGAGATGATGTATGTCTCGCCAAAACTAACACGAATGTTACAACCTGGTCAAAGACAGCAATGAAAACATGTTTCTCTTCAAAACTTTTATAAAATAACGATTGTTTACTGTTTGTGAAAATGAACACTTTGATATGGCCGAAAAAGTAATTGTTTGTTTTTTACATGAAATCTCGAAACAGCAAATATGTAAAACCTAATAAACGTTACTAAGATCCAAGAAGTATGGGTAACACACAAGAAAAACTTGACTATCTTTTTTTCAAGCGGAAAACAACTCGCCAAATTGTTGTTTCTCGTTGGTGAGGTGTTAGAAAGAAGTCGTGTGGCGTCTTTCATCATCAAGGCATACTTAACAAGTTCTTGAATGTAAACATTTATCAATTATAGTGTCGCTAGTCAAACTGTAGGAATATTAAACTCTCATTACATCTGAACATTCTTTACCTTGTGATGGAGCTTCATCAGCCATCGTATTTCAACTTTTTTAACAACCTGCGAAGGAATTTCTTTTGCTTAAACTTGAAATTATTATTTGCAGACAATTCAATGTTGTGGTATCACTTTCATTATAAACTCGCAAAGCAAACTTACTCATTTGCAAATTAGAGGCAATAAGATATGTTTTACTACTTAAAATGTTTTTTTAAAACTAAAACTTACCCAAAATATCAAAGAAAGGAACAAATAGCTTTGCAGATATGTTGCGCTGTTGTCAGAGGCTTCAAGTTTTGCTAAGCTGTAAGCTCCCAAAGTTGGTTTCTATGGAGATCACTGTCTAATGGTTCCTTTGGGGCTGTTACAGTAATCATAAGTGCATATTTGCATATCAGTCGAACGGATATTAAATATTCAAACAAAGGAAAACCGTACACTCGCGTGGTCTGGCATTTAGACAACAAAATAAACACTCATCAGCGTTTGTGGTTTATCCTATAGAGTAACTATATGCGCTAAAAAGGTCTGTAAAACTGAAGAAATGAAAAGAATAGTTATCTCATTTGTATACCAGTTTGCTCAAATTAAGTGTGTACATAGAAAATAAAATTTAATGAATAAATCAAAGGAAGTGAATCTTGTATAATGCACAGAATGAAACTACCAGCCGATTGTATTTCAAATCAAATGAAAGTAAAGAAAAAGATATCGTTTTGAAATTCAAAAGATGAAGGGTGAATAATCAAATGTAACAATGAAACATAAACCTTTAACTTTAAACTCTTTATTACAAATATCACTCGCAAAGCTCTGTGCGTCCAAAACCAAAATTGATTTCATTTTTCCATACCTTAGTTGATACATGATAAATTTATAGCTCTCTAATTTCTAAAATTCGTAAATGTTACGCACAAAGGTGAAGAAAATTATAGCGAAGCGTGTATTAATATTGCAAACAATTTTCTCTGCATTGAATTGTATCTACAATTGTTTGAAATATTGTTTTCCTAAAATTGCAGAAACCAGTCTCGACTTCGTCAGTACTCGTAAATGATCCGAAGTGTGACTGTTAACTTCGACTGTATTCGCCGGCCCTCGGAAGGGTTTAGACGTTTTCACTACTCAATGTCTTCATAGAAAACAACTGACGTGCATGGCGGATATTGAGTTCACGCCAATAACTAAAAGTATGGAAAATATTGCGATCCAAAACGGGCTTTTTCCTGTAGTGCTGTTAGAATAATTTATTTATAAACACTCCTAATGATTTAATCATTAAAGGCTCCAAAAAACTCTCACTGCTGCAAGTTTCTCAAGAGGCTGCATCCAATTCTTTGGTCAGCGGTTTCAGTGCACGGCTCGACCCTCGGGAAGTCCCGAGATAGGACTCTATGGCTTTTTTGATGTGATATCTGGGGCTGGGAGGAAGTTTCTTCAGTTCAGACAGATTCATACGATTCCAGTCCTGAATTGTTCTTTCATAATCAGCTTCTGCTTGCCTCTCTGCCAGTGCCTCGGAGGTGCTGCTTAGCTCGCTCCTAAAAAGGAAACATAAGAAATTCACATATTCCACAACGGTTAAACGTCTACGCATGTGCGAATGTTGTAATGACAGGATGGCGAGCGTCCAGGCAAGTTGTCTCACACGAGTTACAAACAACCACAGAAGCTAAAAAGTCACGATGTTTTAAAAACTTGAATAGGCTTTATGTTCGATAAGTGTTGAGTTTCCCTTCTCCCTACTTTTGTTTCCTTTTACAGATTTCTATAAACTTTTCAATTTTCTTCCACTTATCCTGCGAGACAGCGTTGTTTTTTTAAGTTTTCCTTCGAAATTTTGCGCGGGAAATTGGGGCGCGGGCGGCCAGGATTAATCCCCTTACGCATGCTCTACGTTTGACCGCTGTGTTTTAACATATTGGCAGCACTATCAGCAGCACTTGCAATTGCAATTTTTCCTCACACATACCTGAAGTCAGCTAAGTGATCAAAGGTCATTTTGTGTGGCTGATAATTTGATTGGTTGAATTTCGGAAAATTTGGCATTGGTAAAGGAGGAAGTCTGGTGCTGCCTTCCTTGTTTGGTTGGGACAAGTTCCTGCTCCTGTAAACCGAATTGAAAACTTGTACATGGCACCACTCAAATTGTTTCTAATTGCCAAAGTTAACGTGTTAAAGATGAAAAAAAAAATTATGCTCAATATGATAAATTTCTAATAAGGCCAACTTTCTATGTTATTCTGAACCAACTACAAAGGTTGTTATTTATTATTTTACAGTCAGTTTTCTCCAAATGCTCTAAATTTTTCCAAATGGTCCAAATGTTTTAAACCCCCCCCCCACCCCCTTAAAAAAATGAAAAGAATTGAAAATCGTTTGCCGACGGAGTGCCACGAATATCTCCTCAACGTTTGTAACAAAATGAATGTAAGTATCATTTACCACTTAGTTGGGTGAAAAAGTCTTCCAGGAAGTCTTGACTGTGGAACTGGATTAGGAAAGCTGACAAAATAAAGACAGGAAAAGTTTTGAGAAGAAAGTAAAGAAAATGAACACAAGTGTTTTTCAATGACCAAAATATTTACAATAAGTTTAATACTCACTTATCCAGTTTCCAAGAGATTTCTGGCTCTAAAATTAAATAAAATGAAGTACCTTTTATTCAACTGAGCTGCATGAAACGAACCTAAAGTTTAGATTTATTTAAACTACATCTTTATTATAGAGTGTTATCCTGTATCGCATGTCAAGGGCCCAACCTTTTTTGTATCCTTTTTTTTTTAATCTTACCTACACTTACCTACAACTCCAAGTGCTGTTGGTCTGTTGCCATAACCTCTGTAGGGTAATACTTCCTGTTTGCAAACAAAATCTATATTATTACTGATGACATCCTGACTGACTTTTCAAATCAATAGGTGATATGAGCAGCAGCAGAGTTGAGGAAGTGGGAAGGAGGGGCAGATGAGGCTCAAGAGAAGGCTGAAGACTCCCCCCTAGAAATGTGGGGGTAGGTGAAGCCCCTTGTGCTTTTGGTTTGGAAAGTATAGCATTCAAATTTTTTTAGTTGCCTCAAAAAATATTCAGTCTCCTTAACTTTCTAAAAATTATTTCATCAGGATCATGCTTGAGGTTCATTGGGTAAATAAAGAGGTGTTGCTCTTTTATGGCAAAAACTTTCCACTTAAGCATTGCCACAATTCAAAGTTACATACACAATGGACACTATTAAGATTGCACAGAGGCTTACTTGTGCCATCAAACTATGCAAAGAACATTTAAAAAAATGTGAGTAGGGGTATACTCTTGGCTCAATGTACCATAAGCCCCCCCTCTATGTTTGAAATCAGCTGTGCTTCCTTTGTATCATTAGTGCTGCAGAAACATATCAGAGAAGGAAAGTTGGAGGTCATTTGTGAATAATTAAATACCTGCTGAAGATCTTGAATTGTAGTGTTGACCATGTAGCGATTGTAGTAGGGTGATAGACTGTTAAAAATATCAGGAGTAAATGGTCTCCTGTTGGGAAAAAGTACAAAAAATGTTGAATACTCAGTGCCAATTGGCTGAAATAATAATAAAAAAGTGATGTCCTTGAGCCAAACATCCATTTTTTATAAAGTATATGCAATTGGTTGGAGCCCCCGTGTCATTTTTCTCAGAGTGAAGAAATGAATCAGCCTAAACTAGTTATCAACCACCTGGCCCCAGCCAACTGTCAATACTATCTCACATGGCAGAGGTCAGCACTTTACTTATGAATAATAAATGAATCAATAAACAATATACACATATTTCAGAGGGTGAAAATAGAAATTAAAGAATCATAATCTTCTGAGTTGAGATTATCTATTTATTCATTTATTAACATATTTAATTATCATGTCTTTATTTTAAAGACCACTCTAAAAATTTCAAATTTAAAGGCCTTAAGAACTTCTGATGCAACATCAACTTCTCCCTGCGTTTCACGAGGCAAAATGTGAAAACGTGAAAGGAGAATCCAGTACCCTATCAGATGTAACTTTAGGCTTTTACCCTACTTCCTTTACAGAAATGTTCTTAACTAATGTTGAAAAATTCTAACTGCCAGGAAGAAGACCATAAATACATAGATAGTTGAACAACCCATAGCCAAGAATTTGAACGTCATTAGCTGAGAACAAATCTAGTGAGCAGTAGGGAGGTGGAGAACTAAAACCTTCAACCAGAAATGCAACCTCATTACTTCGTCATAAAGCCTGTAGTTCACTTGTACTTTTGTGCTTACACAGGAGGTCGTTGTATGGATTGTTGAAATTCTCTCATCTGATTCTTTAGCCTGTAAAACTCTGCTAACATCTGTTGTGTCTTTTTATCCATATGGGTTGATGCTTTGGAGCTTGCAGGCTTAGAACCTTGTTTGGCTTTCATATTCGTTTGCGGCTTGTCTTGTTTCGTAGCTTTCTCTGCCACACTGCTTTCGTCTTCATCTATGAAAAAAATTTATTTCATGTTAATTTGAGGAAGCAACTTTCCCCAAATTGAAGGTATTCACTGAAATTATATCAATACTATTTAGGTTGTATTTCTTCATTTGAAAGAAATGATACGCACGATCTCAAAAGCCGTGTAATTTGGCCAAATAGGATCGAATCGCACTGTTACAAATTTTCACGCGCGTGGATCCGTGTTGTGTAACTTTTCCCATTTCTTTTCGTTGTTCTAATCCTTTTATGTCCATGGGTCTGAAATCGTTATCAAGAAAATTGCCTGGATCAATGTTGCCTTATTGGAAGATGCAACTTAGTGCATCAAAATTATGCAAACTAGCGACTTTCAATTTTAACTGTACTCGAACTTTACACTTCGTATTTACAAATTTCCTTAATGCATAATATTGTTGTACCTAAAAGCCTTATGATAGATATTGATCCTCGAACAAATCTGATTGCTTCACACTTCCCATTTTCAGAATGCTAATTTTCTCTCTAATATCAGAATATACATAAACACAGATCAATTACCAGCAGTGACTGTATGAAAACCCTCGTCTTCCTCGACAGCGGCTTCACCTTCCATAGTTTTTTCGTGTTCTGCGGCGCTGTAATCTCTCTCCTTTGTGATGAATTAAAGCACAATTAGAAATCATAACGGTGAACTGTAAAGCCAAGTAAAAAAGCCACAAAAGGGGTCTAAATTATCCCAAGAGACTAATTAAAAGTCAAAAGCTTTTGGTCAAAATTTATGGCGAGTCAATTGTTTAAGCACTTCGTTTGTCTTAAAGGATTTGTAAAACGCTTTTTGCAACCTCACCTCAGAATCTCTCATTCCATCTATACTAGATGGTGGCCGCTTGTTAGGAGGCTGGTTTAGAAATGTAAACGCAGGCTAATCGCGAAGATGTTTTACCAAAACTTTTGGAGGAAATCATGCATCAAATTAGCGTTTGGCGAAGAGTTGCTAAAATCGTTTCCATGGAAATCTGAATTTAAGATGGCACTGGAAGCCAATCATCAGAGAGGTTTATTGTTGAGCAAATATTATTGTTCATTCAAAGTGATAGGTTTGAGAAATAGTATCATTCTGTCCAAAAACAATATATTAGGAAATATGATTGGATCATTCTGACTATGATCCGTATAAACTCAGCCTGATAACTTTCGTGACTTACCTCTCGCTGGGAAACGGAAGTCGATGTGACGTCATGGGCTACTTGTTAAAATCACGATACGTAATTTGGTAGATTTTATATTCCGAATTATCCCACAGGGTGATAATTACCTTAAAAAAGACAAGAGCGGTCCAAACATTGAAGCAGTTTTTTACCTCTATTTGGTCAGGGAAAAAAGCATTTCGCAACCTGTTTATTCGTGACTTTTTTAAGGAAATGTCAAGGATCAGTTCCTGCTCCTGAAGTTGTTTTGTCGGCTCACTGAGCGGGATAAGGCAGATCCAGTCACTTAGGTCGAGTTTTCGTTGCTGTCACAGTCTAAGTTCATGTCGCTATGTGTCCACCCCGCCGCCTCTGAGCAATTCCTCCTTGAAGTGGCTCGTATCAGGCCCCCAATGGTGTTAGATGGTTTAAAATCATGAGTATTAACGGGAGCTTGTATGAATTTCTTTTTTCATTTAATTCTCAACTTCTATTGGGTCATCAATTTAAATTAATGAAACAATTGCACTTGTGAAAGTACCAAACAAAACTGTTGTGAAACTCATGTTAATTTTTATTTTCTCTCCTATGTGAAAGTAATCTCCACTTTTAAACTCGTTATACTAGTATAGTCTCTTGTAATGGCATGCGCTTTCGAGAAGAAAAACGCTAAAGCTTAAAGGTTGGCGCCTGTAGTTCACGCATGCCCAAATGTCGGTGCCGCCCCTTTAAAGTAAAATAAAATGTATTGTAAGTCCTTTAGCCTGTCGCAGATAAAGTTACGTGGATAAATCTGGCAAAGCAGTTCCTAGCATCGCAAAAGTTATGTCAAGTTTATTTGCAAGCAATAAAAGCATTCTACTCTTAGTAAATATCTACATGCAAACGCTGTACAACAAATTAAACTATTTCAAAGTACTAATAAATTAATTTTTCATTTAAAAGGGTTCTAGACATAAACAATTATTTTCAGTGGCGTTCTATTAATTTTCCTTTAAATGGTCATTAATATTTCTTTATTTTTCACAGTTGATCATAACACTGCGCAGTCACGTGACCAACGAGATAAACCACCAAGCAGCTAGGGTATGTTTGGAGGCTGTAATCAACAAAATATTTGGAAGTTAAATCTGTATGAGCTAGGAATTTAGTTACCGACCAAAAGCTGGCTCTTGAAGATAAAACGAAAAAAATTTGTTTTCATTGAGGATCTTTCGAGAGAGACAATCTGCCATTTTTATCAATCGTAGGTCTCCCTGGTAACCAGGGTGTCAAGCACCATGCACAGTTCACTGAACTTTGGTCTGTCTATGGCTGAGAACCGCCAACACTTGGTCATCAATTCATAGCTGCAGGAAAAGAGAAAAAACAAAGCTCGTCTTCAACTACGAACTTATGTTATTCTTCAGCACACTTTTCAACTGACTGTCGAAAAACCAAAACCAAATTAATCAGACCGAATTAATTAAAAACCAACAAAATATTGGATTACGTTTAACACTCAATTGAAAGTTGCTCTGTTATAAAACGAACGGTAAGTGTCAGCGGACTTCTTGCCCCCATCCCTCGCTTGGTGCCTCTTCGGGTTGGGGATTGGGGCGAGGAGACAACTGATACTTCTACCTGTTCCATGTTTTTCTGTTTCTTGGAATTTTACCTCCGAACGTCATTTGAATTATTCCTCTTTTGTGCTTATTGCGATTGGTCGGTTGCAATTAAATTTTCAGTGCGCTTTGAACGAATTTGATAAATTGAACAAATATCAAAACTGGCTTTAATCAAGGGATATATTTTTTTGTTAGGAAGTCGAAAGTCAAAATAGAACTAAGAAAACCTTACGTACACAACAGTAGAAGTTTTCACAGGTTTATCCATACGATGTCCAGATTTTAAGCTTTCCAGAAGATCTTTTGTCTGAGCTCCAGGATAAGGAACATCACCTGAGACCAAAGAGCCACACAGAAATGCTTTCAATTTAATATCGAATTTATTCCAGAGCCTTCGAAGTTTATCACGATCTAAAGGACCGGTGACAGAAACCACTCATTATTTATTGCCTGGGAAGAGGAAGAAGGAGGGGAAGAGTTGAAAAAATTTGGGTGTGTCACATTAAACCTTTCCTTATCCCCCATTAAGGCTCTGGAAAATTTTCATGACCCCCACCCCTCTTCGTTGGCAGTTCGTCGTCAGTCAATTTCTGTAGTCCCCCTTTGTACTCTGTTGGAGAAGACTGACACCCCCCCCTCCATCTCAAAAATCCTCTACTCCCCACCACCCTGGTGATGGTCCCTAATGACAGAGCGACAAATATGGGAAAAAAGAACCTCATTGAATCAAACAGTACTTGCCTCCAGTTTCAATCTCCCAAAGTAATACGCCAAAAGACCATCTACAATAGAATGAAAATATAGGTCACGCAAAGTGAGATGCAAGGTCTCTTAAATCAGAGAGTGGATACAACAATCTCTTTCCCAACTCCCTAAGGTGAGAGTATGAAAAGACGAGAGAACCTGGGAGTGAGTTTGTGAATATTACAACGCTGTTTCGTCTGTACTCACACATCGCTCTCAGACGTGAAATCCTTTGTTTCTAAGCTTTCTGGGGCCATCCATCTTGCTTCTGATAAGTTTCCCTTTTGAAAAAGTAACGAAGTGATGCACATATTCATCGATAAAAAGTACTATTTAGAGATATAAAAGCCCTCAAAGGTACATAAGATTCCAACCTACCTTTGCAATGTCTTCATAGAATGTCTTATCGCATCCAGCACTAAAGCAGCCTATATTAGCGACTTTGGCGATGCAATTTTTACCAAGACGAACGTTTCGGGCCGCGAGACCTTTATGAATGTACTGCACATAAAAATATAAGAAGAGAAAAAAAGAGAAATTTATTTCCTTGATTTCGATTGAGAGTCGTAAAACCAAACCCAAATAAATTACAACAGCCAATGAGGAAACAGGAATTTGTCGCAAGAAGACCAATGAGAGCTCAAAGTAAAAACATGTCAATTGTTTGAAGCGCGAGAAAAACACGAGCGACATACTCGCGTGGAATTTGAGTTTTGAATGTAAATGGTTAAAAAAAGTGGCACCAGTTTTCTGGACCAATCACAGAGCGAAGTAGCGTAATATCTGAGAAATCCCGAAATACTTTCGACACGGTTGGAATTTCTTGATCGAAAGTATCAACATAATCGGAAAGTTGCCTGCATGAGCTTTATCACTGAACAGAATTGGAAGGCAAGTGAGGTTGGTGAAAATTCATCAATGATGAACAAGATGAACATGAGACCTAAACAATTTCTCCACTCACATTTCTCTCTGCTATATGCCTCATTCCTTTGGACACATCAAGAGCTATTCTTAATTTTTCCACTTTGGATAACGTGCAAAAGTTTCGTGTAGAGTTCATTTCATCACCCATCCGGTTTTTCTTAAGATATTCCAATAGACTGCCATGTTCCGTTTCCTCAAAGACGAGATATGTAGGACCTGAAGAGCGACGTCAGAAATCAGTTGGCTGTACAAACCCCTGGTAAAATTAGGTAAATTCAACCTACGCCTTTTTTAAATGTTAAGGAAACGCTTTCCCTAAGGACTCCGGCTGATCAGCAACCAATGCGCAGTTGGTTAAACTACGCCAAAACAAGCCCCAATATGAGACTCCATACGAAACAAAAAGAAATGCCAGCACAAGCAAAGAAGCAAAAATATTTTCTGCCTTGTGCTTGCGAATTTAAAAATTTGTATGGACTCTTATGCTTGCTTTTGCGTCGTTAGTGAAAGAACTATTTTGAAAGTTAAGCAATTTGCAATGTTTCTTTCACTTATTAATTCTAGGAAGTTAACAGACTAACTAGAATCCCCTACAAAACTCTTAGGACGCTTGAGAAAAACGGTTGCAAATGAAACATCTTAAAACCCTTTAGTTAAAAGTAGGCCCCTACCCCACTGCAAAGTTCGTAAGAATCCCGGAAACATTGATAACACTGCAGTTACTTTCAACAATGCTTGGATTGGGGACTCAGGGAATGGGGAGGGTTGTGGAGCTTTGACAGCTCTAATGGGAATAGTTCTCATAATGGATAAAGAACATATTTCATAGCGGAGCTCGTAGCACGCACAGCGAAGCCCAATACCTATAAAAAATGGGAACAATAATAGGAGCCTTTCCGCACGATAATGAAATATTAGTCACCAGACTTACTCACCTTTTAAAGTGCAAGCTCCAAAGAGGTTGAGTATGTTGGGATGGCTTCCCAGGCAGCTCAAGATTTTAAGTTCAGTTAACAGATCATTCTCGTTAGCTGATGATCCAAATCCTTTCGAATCTGGAAAAAAATATGAACGATTCACTGTTGGGAACTTGTTTGATGCAGGAACATTTTATCCATTACAAAAATAAACATAAGATGAATGTCGTAATTGGCTGATTTTGTAATGCGTTGAACGACCATGGTTGGACGGGTATGGCAATAATTGCACTTTGGACTTAAAATTATCTCCATCCCGAATGTCTTAAAGGGAGAGCGTCTAAACCAAAGAACTCTGTTTAACGAAACACCCTATGTAACGAAACACCCTGTGTAACGAAACACCCTGTGTAACGAAACACCCTGTGTAACGAAACACCCTGTGTAACTGGATCTCTCATTCAAAAAGTCAAAATAATATAATTCATTAGAAGTTGGCCTTTCTGGACAATTGTCCGGTCGCGCTTAGAAGAAGTGCTTAGGATTATCCATTAGAAAATAAAAAAAATATACAAAAAGGGTCAGTTATTCAGTACCCGTAGCTGTTTTCACGATACAACTTGCTATGTTTCCATTCTCATGAGAAAGTTTCCCACGAAACGTTCCTCCGTCAGACTCAGACCCAATCTTCTCTCCAATAGTAAGTCTATTTCTTGAAATCTCGCACCAGTCCGCTGAGGTGTCGTTGTTGTCGGAGTCTAATTTAACTTGGTAAGAAGAGTCAGTTCTTTCAAATGCTGGATTTGATTGGCCAGTTTCTGAGGACTAAGAAATCTATTTCACTAATCAAACAGTGGGTCAATATGGTTTGAGATACAAATTCGTGTTCCTATATATTTGAGAAAAATTCTCAGCAATACGTGGCTGATGCGAAAATGTTTTAGGGTGATTCAAGCTTTTTCACTAAGTTAAAATGTAAAACAAATGTGGGGTTACTGGAGCGATGTGTTCCAACAACTGAGGAATGCTACTGAAGATAAACCCTCTCAGGATTGTCGAAGATCTTAAAGATTTGCCAACGTTTGAATTATTTTAACATAATCGTGTAAGACAATTTAGAGAGTACACTTACAACATCGTTCATAGTCACGAAGTCTCTTGAATGCTCGTTCCTGTCCCCTCGCCATCTACGGTAATACCGGAAGTAGAAAACAGCTGCAAACCCGAGAAGGAGTAGAACAGCTGCTGTCACAGGAAGACCAATTTCTAGGGCCCTTGAAGCGATTGAGTCTTTGGGGTTGGAAATGGATAAATGCAGATCAGCAAAAAGCGCTAATATATAAATAAATATAATTCACCAACCTCATTACGGAATCTGTATGCGGTCACTGTTTTAATGTTGAAGTCTTTGTTTTCCTTTAGCTAAGACCGACAAGAAAATGGTGCTTACACAAAGGTCCCGTTAGTAATTAGTGTTAAACAGCTGAACATCTCACCTGGTGTCCTCGAGTAGCTACCTGTATGGTTCAAAGTAAAGTATATTTTAAGTCAGCATAAAGGACAAAACAAATAGACCTCTTAAGCTTATATGTTTTTTTCACCCTTTTCAGGTCTTGCGATAATTATCTAGACAACTGTTTCTTACAAATTTCCTCTTCCTCACGTGCACACGTACGCACAATTTGCAAAATATAACGCTGGGAATATCCTTCCGACCTGAAATGGGGTAAACAAAAATACAAGCTTAAGGAGGTCTTTGCATGGAACATCCACTTCAAAAAAAGGCAAATGAGAGCCAGAGAACAGCAACAAACAAAAATATATTGACATTTGTTGAATTCAATAATTTTTTCAACGATAGTTTACTAATAACTAAATCAAAAGGTGGAACAAATGAGAGGAGGAGGAAAGCTAACCGCAAATTGGATGGGTGTGGTCAAGGATATCTTTAGCAGAATGTTAAGGGGCCTGCGACAAAATAAGACAAAGAACCATTTCACGGCTACCCCTAGGGTACCCCTCGGAAGAAGACTCATGAAAGACTGGCTTCCTAAGGCAAGCAAGGCAAAATGTAAACCAAGCTTGTACTCACTGGGGTCCTCTACACGACAAATTACACCAGCATCATTATAATGGTCCCAATAGATGCCAGCTATCCTGGACCAGGAACATTCCCATAATGTGCTTTCGTGTCCCTGACAATTAAGGTTTGACATCCAGACAGGTCCTTCCCCTTGTCCAAAGGTTTCAGTAGCAAACAAGATGGCGGTTTCAGCTCCTGGGTAACCGAGCTCTTTGCACGCCACATGTGCAGACGTAATATTCCAGCCCCTATTTCGGATTGTACCCCAGACACCCGCGATGTTAACCTCAATACGGCCAGCGTAAGTCATGTTGCTTCCAGCAAGCCTGATTTTACTAACTAATGGAACATAAAGAAACTCGTTAACTATGTGAAAGGTTGGATCATCAGCCATAACAAATGTATCTTTTTCCCAAGTACATTTTTAATTTTCTATTCATCAGCTCTTTTTCTATTTAGCATAGCTTGAAATTGTTGTATTCAAACTTATGTGAGTACACAAACAATTAAAAAATTTCAGGATAAACTTGGATCAACATCAGTATCTGAGCAACTGCACACTTAACCTTCCCCTTACCCAACAACAATCAACTGATAACATGTTAGGGTTAAAGCTGGGTTAGTGGAGGGGTAGGTGCACAGTTGATCCTTAAACTTTTACCTGCAATTTTGGTTTTACATACTACACCAGCCTCAAGCACTCCCACACGAACAAAGGACACTTCATGTGGGCATTCATCCAATGAAGATTCACTTCCACGACACTCAACATTGTCTAGCCATTGAATGTCCATTGAGTTCCCAGAAAACTTTGGGGCAAAAACATATGCAGCCCCATGGATGGCCAGATCAGCTCCAGAGAAACCCAGCTGTCTGCATGCCACATGAGCATCTGCTAGCTGCCAATTGTAGCTGTTAATTGCGCCCCATTTTCCTGCCAAAAATACTTCGATGCGTCCGGCATAAGAAACCGACCATTTTCGAAGATGAATTTGAAGACCTGAAATAAACAGTACAGAATGGGAGACATAGTTACCTCTAGCTACATATGTTCATTAGTAGACTACCCAGAGAGATTAATTATTTAAATATTTTTTTATCATTAGCAAAACCACAAAGTGGTTTGCTTGTCTTTCAAGGGTTAAAAAAATACAATTGCAAAGAGTTCCTCTGAGTGTACAATTTTGACAGAATCTTGCCAGCAGAGAGCGCTGTGACAGACATGCTTTTTCTGGGATGATGGTTGGAGATAACTGCCATTATTAGACACATAATTCACCTGTTTTACTATTATTTTTGCAAACCACTCCTGCACTAGTCCACTCTGCACTTCTGTATGTGACAAGTTCATAGCTACAGTTTGACAAAGATTGTTCATTGCCAGTGCACTTTACAATGTCCATCCATGTTAACATCTGTGACGTGCGATTCCATTTATACAGAACTGTCAATACATCCCTGTACCCAAGTTGTCTGCAGGCAACGCGGCCATCTTCTAGATCCCAGCCAAACATCCCAATCTGGCCCCAGATCCCTGCATATTTCACTTGAACACACCCAGCATAGGGTACTGTGGTATGGGCAAGGCGAAGGGGTGGAGGATAAGCTTAAAACAGACAACAAAATAAGTCATTGCATCCATGTTGACACCTGCTTTAACCCTTTAACTCCCATGAGTGACCAAGAAAGAATTTCTCCCTACAATATCCATACAATTTCAAGTAGACAAGTGATGAGAATTAAGAAAATATCAATTAGGGGACAACAGTTTGATCCAATACCAAATTCTCCAAACAAACATCACTAAAACTGTTTAGAAGATGGTAAGGGGAATTACTAATGAGATCTTGGGAGCTAAAGGGTTAAAAAATGGTCTTAAAGGAATATAAAATTTGCACAATGATTATAACAGCATACTACATGTCATGTCTACAAAGATTTTATCAGAAATTCTCCCTTCTCAACCAGTATACATTTGCATGACAGACATCTTAAAAATTCACACATCTTCCTCAGAGACTTGGTCTCCTTTGCCGCCCATTCTCTGGAATGTCATGCAACAGGGGTGCATTGTGTGACATCCCAACTTGGCTAGTAGTAGTAGTAGTAGTAGTAGTAGTAAAAATATGCATCTCCCAAACAAACTTACTGACTGTCATGTTGGGCCTTTCACAGACTACTCCCACAGTGCCTTTAAGTCCCATAGAACAACCAGCTTTTCCCCAAGTGTAATCACATTCAGCCAAGCTGCTTTCATTTCCTTTACATCTGACATTAGTCATCCAATAGTGAGTATTTCCTTGGCCAAAAGCATTATAACATGGGGTGGCTATGGCATGTGGGTAACCAAGCTGTCTGCATATCACGTGACCAAAATTCATGTTTATACCATAATCACAGACTTGACCCCAACTTCCATTGTATTTTACTTCTACTCGGCCAGCATACGATCCTGGGCCATTAGTTAAGTTCACAGTTATGCTGAATGCTGAATTGAAAACACAAGAAAAAAGAACAAAAATAGAATATGAAATAAAAATAAATAAGTCACTACATAGGTTACTTAAATATAAATGTGTAATTAATTCTTACATGCTAAAATTGTTTTAACAAAGCTAAGTCAAGGTCATTTCAAATCCAGCTTAAGGAGCTAATCATGAGCAGATGACACACGCTTACAGATTTTGAAATCAGAAACGGAAAGATCAGTTGCAGAAGTGACATGCCTGAAAAAGGAGATTACACAGAACCACCTACAACTGCATGGCACGTACTGGGCGCTTTGCCACTAAAAAACCCTTTACACCCTAACATGAGTAAGAATAATCTCCCTACTGTTCTCTCTACATTTCCTAAGTTTTTGACAAGGAGAATTTGTTTTGCAATCAAAACTTCTTAAATTAGATGCTGGTCACTCTTAGGGATTAAAGGCTTAACCAAAGAACATTACCTTGCGTCTCCAAATTGACTAAGAAGAAAATGATCCATGAGCTCCACATGATTAGTTTACATGGCCGAAAGACATGACACAACATCATTTTACCAGTTTCGTTGTGGGTGGCCACGGGCGCTCGGTCAGGCATTTTTTTATCCTCTCTGAATTCTAAAAAATCCACGACATTCCACGTTGAGTTAAAATTACATTTTCCTTTGATTTGAAGTCACTTTGCGACATTTTTTGTCACGAGTGAAAAGGACAAATGTTTCTCGTGACACAATCCTGTTAGGCATTAATTAAGACCTTGTGTTAAGCCTTAAACTCGATACTCATTGCCAGAATGTTGAACTATTAAAACAAGCTGGCAAGTGCGCCACTATGGGGAAATGCCATGAGATACCTCAAAAGGTGCAAATATTTATAGACATATCATTAAATTCCTACACTTGTTAATGGGAACTTGTCTTTTCAGTCAGAAGTTACTATCACATTTTATTTGTGGAAAAGTAAACAGGAAATTATATTTACTTTCCAAACAAAGTATTATCAGCATTTCTATGGCCACTTCGATTCTTGATCGCCGATAACTCGATGGTTTAACTAAACAAAACTCAAACGCACGAAACAGCATACCGTTATTTTCAGTGAGGGCAAAAGTAGCTCTCAATAAACAGAAAAGCGATGAAAAATCTAGGTGTTGCGATGTGGAAAGAAAAACTTAGGGTATTTTGAAGATTTCATCCTCATCACGCGATATCTGACGACAACAAAAGTGAAGGGGCGTGTTTGTAATAAAGTTTGTTATTATTCACGCCGTTTAGTATCAACCTTGTGAAGACTTTTAAATGATTTGATTTTGAAACAGTCAGACTTAACTAGTTGACTAGCGTAAGAACTATTGGAAGACACGACCCATTGCACACCATTTTCGGGTTTGCTAGTAAGTTTGCAACAGCAAGGGGAAAGATTTGCAATTGCATGGCCACATCCATGGGCAGCAAAGAGCGAATGAGGCTTTTGTCCGAGGCTAAACAGAAGCTGAACGCACAGAAACCAAATACATTTTACTCACCCAACGATCGTCAAATATCCACGGAAATGTGAACGAATGGAAAGAAATTGCACAACAGCTTCCCCCTGAAAAAAAAATCACAGCTTGTAGAGTTTGATATGATATGAACTTTTAACCCTCGGCATGCAAGACAAGTAATACGAACATATGTTCATTATGCCGCCGATGTCGATCAGTCACAGCTGACTCGCGCGCGTGATCTCCAAGCTCGCGTGCGCGAGTTACTCCACAGGCACCTCAGAAACCCTCACCTCGTTTCATAGTGTTTTTCATGATCGCCGGCACGGTTTTGAGTTGATTCAGTGCGATAACTAATTCATACTGTTTTGAGTTCCTCTTTCAATTTTTAGTTCCAAACGCAAACGTGATTCTAAGACAAGTATTTATGTATTTGCATATTGAGCTTGGGTGGCCTGTGGGATACCTTTGGCTGTGTTGTCTGAAAATGATTAAATCGTACAACTTCCATTTTACCATAAGGCAAAAGTGAAAAAAATTAAAAAAAAAATCAGTTACGTTACATTCCTCAACATTCCTCATTATAACTACTGAGTGCTGATGGCCCTTTAATCTACAAAGAGGCGAAAGGGCTATTGATCACAATCATTTTTCAAGACTTCAATCACCACCTTTTAATAATTCTCAGTTAGTTGGTAATTTGGTACCATATTTAGCAACATATTTAGTAATCCAACCTCCCAAAAGTTATCTGCAGTCTTTTTGATAAGATGAAACTGAATGAAGATAACTTATAGATAACTGGCATGTTAAGTAAAAGAAATAAGATAAAAGAAGAGAACAGATTGATCCTACGTTGATTTCAACATGAGCAAACCAGAAGCTGAGAAAAGAGAAAAGACTGACCAAGTGACAAGACTGACACGAACTTGAGACGATGAAAAAAATCTGGGCCGGTCCTGCGAAGTTTCGAACCCAACTTTGGACCGATTTCAAGATAATTAGGATTTTGTACCCACTCAAATTTACCCTCGCTGTTGCGTTTTCCTACGAAGACAAAACTCTTTTCTATCAAGGTGAGGTGGAAAATAAAGAAAGATGTCTTTCTGCACACGCCCTCTGCCAGGTTCTCAAATCAGACTGTCATTTCAAAAAAAGCTATCTGACTGTAGAATGGATTCTAACCTGGACTATTGACTTTGTCTGTTAATTGAGACGATTGATAGACAATTATAATGTACACGATGGTTTATGTAAAAATAAACATAAATGACGTTCCACAAGAAATATGTATCCTAAAAGTCATCCACACTACATCGAGTTATTTTTACAACCTATCTGATCTTGTTCGCATAAATTTTGCTTCAATCATTGCTGGTAAACGAAATAGAGAGAACAGATAATATAACTGAACTGTTGCACAAGCTTTAGAAATTTAATTTTCAGTCAGTTTATTTGTGTTTCGCAAGTCAGTTGACGTACAGTTTCCCTGTCACGCCACTCAAACTAGGACAGATTCCATAAATTCTTTAGTAAAAGTTTCCATCTCTAGAAAACAAGCTATTCTTTCGCGATCAGAAAAAATCTGATTCAAAGTATTTTGTACTTAAGGAAACGATACAGCCATCTAAAAAAGATCGGCTTTAATTGGAACGAACCAGGGACAATTAATTGAATCGCGATAAAATTAAAGAGAAGTAACTTTTCATAAGCTTTCTTTATCGGACTACCGGATACCGTGCTGTAGATGCAAATATTATGATGAAGCCTGGTAATTATGTTGTGTTATTTCAACTAACGCCATTTGATTACTTTCCCACGCTACGAATTGTTGCAATCACGTAACATTTCCATCATATAGTGTTACAAAATATTCATCATAAAAACGTGTGTGGTAAAAACTTCACTTTTTTCGTACTTTATCAAGTAATCATTCTTCAATTGCCGTAATTTTCGTTTCATGGCTGCACAACTTTTGTCACGCAAAATCTAAATGTTTAATTTGTGTGTTTGAATAAGCATACAGCGTTTAGACAAGATTATTGCATCCCTCAGGAGTAAACCGAAGCCTCTTCATCACAAACGTTTTGGATTTTTAGTCGCCTTGTAGATTGCACTACCTACAAATCTTTTTCCATTCAGCCACCAGGGTTTATTCCCAAATCTGTCCAATTATAGAATCGTCATTACCCGCCAAGTTTCTTAAAAATATGTGAATATTCGTTCGACAAGAACGTAGCAAATGACAATGAGCGATGTATTCAGATTGTCAATACCCCAAAAGCCTTTACTTTTTTTCTAATTTCCCAAGGGTATAAACTTCAACTTACTAAGCTGTAATAAACCTGACTTCATACCTTAGTTCGGAGTCACCCTCGTGTCTTGAAACTTTCTAGAACTTTGTGTTGTGTCCAGCAATTGGGCTAAATTTTGAAGTTGATTGACAATTTCTTACGCAGCTATATTGTTCAGTCAGTCAATAGCTTCCTTTGGAACGAATCTATTAAAAAAGCTCTGGTGCGCTGTTTGAAGATTCCGTCCGCTTTGAAAACATAAGAAATGTTCATTGTTCAATAATTTGGCGTCCTGGTTACTGAGTGTGAAAGGGTCTGGTGTCTAGCACATTGAACGTTTCCAGTGTTCCTCGAAACTTTACTAGTAACCAGACTTATTGAACAATTTTGGGGAGCTTTTTCGATAACCAATTGAAAAGCTGGTAAAAATGATTGAAAATTTAAAATTATTCTAAAAAATCTCAAAAAAGCAAAAAAGAAACACCTATGGAACAGGTTGAACATGTTTGTCAAGTAAGGACGCCTAAAGCATGATATATAGCACGTGTTATGTTACCAGAGGCCATCTTAAAGATCACTATAGGCACGCACGTTAAAGGTTCATTGTTCTTTATAATCAGCCGGAGAAAATCTTATCCCTTCCTATCAATAATGGCTGGGTAATACCTTCCTAAAAATTAAATCCACTTCTGATCGTTTAAATCTTTAAATTCCCCCGGTCTTAAATTTGAATATTCTTGACGGCTTAAATTAGTTTGCACGTTTTGCTCAGCTGTTGAAGTATCTCTGTGATAGCATTTTAAAGTCATCATAGGACGAAACTCTTAAACCTTTACACAAAAACATCAATATTCATATTCTCCACACTGTTCTCTCCACATTTTCTATGGCAATGACAAGGAGAATTTGTTTGACCATCACGAGCCTTTTAAATTGGTTATTATTTCTGTTGTTCTCGTGATCTTTATATTTGTTTCAGGGGCAATACTGTAATGGGGATTTAGAAGCCAGTCAGTCCTGGGGATTAAACGGTGAAACAATTTGAGAGATAAAAAGGAAGAGACAACAATTTGCTTTTTAAAGAAATTAAAAGCTGATAGTTTGAGATGAGAAGATTGTGAATTAAAACAAACAAACAAACAAACAGGGAAAAGTGTTTTGTTCTTCTAGCTTGACACAAAGATTTAGTATGTCAATAACTATTAGGACAATAAATGATAATAGCCATTCTATTGATAATTATGAAATAGTACTGATCATTCACTAACCGCGCGTGCTAAAGAGTAATATGATATGAAGTCGTGATAAATATATGTTATTCACCAGACGGGAGGTCCGTATTGGGAAAAAATGTGCCCGAGGACCTGGATACCGCCCGAGACCTACACAAGACAGAGGGCACAGTTTTTCCCAATACGGACCGACCTTGGCTGGTGAATAACATTTTTATTTTTTTCTAAAACCTAACAAATGGTTGCGAAAAGAACGTGACCCGCTGTGAGCGGGCCGGATGGGGAGAATACTGCACGCTCTCGGAACCAATCATATTGCAGGATTTGTAGAATACCGCCCGCTCACGAACTGAGAAAAAAATAACAAAATGATTTTTCCGTTTCTCTGCCTTTATATTTGACTCATTACCGCGGGGCATGAAAAAATGCATAATACTTTGAACATGACTAAAAGCAAAAAGTCAGATTTTCATAATTTTAATTACTTTTTATTCATTGTTTCATTTTCTTCAACGGAAACGTTAGGTTTTGAAGGCTAAATTGGATCAAGTAATTTTCAGACGACTGCCATTTTCATACCATTTTCAGAGCTCACTGTTGTGGTCTTTGGGTAGGTTGTCATATTTATTTGCCCATGTCATACGAAACTGTGGCGAAGATTCATTTTTTTATTCCTTTTCTTTGGCACAAAACCACAAAGAACAAAAGATCCCTATTGAAGATAATTTTTCAATTCAATTTAACCATTTCTTTAAACCCTTTTTCTTTACAATTGATGATTGTTTTCGTCGAAGGACATTCACAATTAGGAACAAAACAAAAACTCATCAAATATAAAATCTTGATGCGTTGACGTCGTTTACAAATTATTCCTTGATGCGGAACGGAAAAAAGGCTAAAGTTAACTTCTTGATCAAACCGCATTAGAGAATGTTATTGTCAGGGCTTTTTCTGAGTAGATTTTACCGCTAAGAAGTAGAAACGAAATCGTAACTGAAATTAATATTGGTGTTATATAAGCTTTAATAATTATGCGATCTCAACCGTGATTTAATGATGCGACAGTTGAAATAATTGAACATCGTGTGCTGAGTGAAATATCAACAACTAAGGAAACGTCTTTGGATGTGCAATGTTTTTGGGAAATTTTGGGTTGTTGGAACACTATGCGGTCACCATAATTTTTTCTTGAGTCAGTAAAAAATATGCAAAATATTCAAGATTTAGTGAAAACGGATGGAAGCGGAAATAAAGCAACAGCAGATCAGAGAGGAAGGAAGAGGATCGAATATCTAAAGAAATTATTTGTAAGCCCTTAATTCAGAAATTTCTCGAGAAAGGTTGACGAACAAAAAGAAAAAAAGTGCACGTAGCAGTCTCGAAAGGTAATTTGGGTATCCGGTAATCAACGAATGAACAACGGAAATTTATCGAAAGTGGGTCATTAGCGTCCAAAACCAAAATCGGACGCTAGTGTCCAAAATCCAAAATCCGACACAGATGTCTAAGATACAAAATCGTCTGTGTAGTGTTCAAAATCCAAAATCGGATGCTAGTGTCGAAAAACAAAAACCAGACACTAGTGTACAAAATCTAAAATCGGACCCTGGCGACCAAAATCCAATATCGGACACGATACAAAAATACAAAAGCGGACATTAGTGTCCTCTTCAATCAGACTCTAATGTCTAAAATCCAAAATCGTTCACACTTGTGTCCAAACTTTAAAATCGGATATTAGTGTCCATAATCCAAGATCGGACACTAGTGTCCAAAATCTAAGATTGGACACTAGTGTCCGAACTCTTCATTCGGACATTAGTGTCCAGAAACTAAATTCAGACATCAGTGCCCAAATTTGACTCTAGCATCTAAAAAATCTTAAATCGTACACTAGAGTAACGTTTTCTCAGATTTCCCTGGAATCCTAGGATGAGGAACCGTAACCTGAAAACTACCCATAGTCAGGAGCCCATTAGTAATGGGTTCCTGCCGTAATACCTTTTGGGGTTATCGCATCCAATTTTTGCTCCCCTTTTTCCGACAACGTTTCTTGAAACATCTGTTTAAGTCAGTATTCACTTGGAGAGTCAGAATTACCTCGAGGGCGAAGTAGATGCCAATATGTTCAACCTGCTACTTTTCTTTATTTACATTTGTCCAGTCTCATAGGGTCAACAGAAATTAACCAGCATGCATATGAGGCCTCTGATGTTGATACAGAGTATTTTTCTTGTATTTGAAGGTGAGAAATTTCAACTTAAGCAAACTAGGAAAAAAAAAACAAGTTTCATTTCAATTCCTGAGTGAATAAGCTGGTCACACTATATGTATACTATCTGAGATGTTTGGTGATATTAGATGTTTGAGCTGTTTTTATAAAGATCTTTTGAAGGTGAGCTATTAGAGTTTATGAAAAGAAGGATATATGGAATCATGAATCTGTTTCTCTGAGTTCCGCGAAAATCATGTGAGTAATAAACCACTGTTATGAACAGTCGTCTTTAGTTGTTTTTATCTATACTCTTTTTCCTTTGAAAATCCAGCGACGCTCACTGAAAGATTACAGACATCCTCTGGCGCCACAGGTAACCAAGTTACTCGTTCCGTTGAGTTCGCACTTGGAGAAAATTCATCGTCAGGTGCCACAGATCAACCAGCCACAAGCTACTTTCTACGACCATCACCTAGCGCCACGGGTTTCCAAGCTTCAGGCTCCCTTCAAAAAATTAATGGTCAAAGTCCATCAGGAGTAGTATTAACACTATTATCACCTGTCAATGTTGATCGGGAAACTGCATCTTCGCTGAAAGTAACAAAATCATCAAATCACGCTGGCTTTCAAACGGATGCGAATTTCTCCGCATTTGTGCAACGATCGAGTCCAACATCCGGTGTTCTAGATCTCTCCGCAGGTTCCTCAGCATCACTACAGACGGCAAGCTTACCGTCAAGAGCCAGAGGTGTTCAGACTACTGGCGAATCGATAGGTACAGGTAAAATAACTCTTTCTCAATTTTTGAAAGATTTGAATAATTCTATCAGTTTTCATTAATTAAACAATCTCCCTGATGCACCGACACTTCCTACCATTGTTTCACTTTCTGCTCTTTCTATCTCATTTTTTCTGTTTTCTTTCACTTCTCATTGTCTTCCTAATCCTAATTCTGACCTCAGCCTTCACGTCTGTTTTGTCTGTTGATCGAAAGCTTTCTAAGATGTTTTAGAAACTGTGTTTCCTCTGAAACAGAAATGAATCCCCAAAACATGTAAAGTTTGTTTATAATTTTCTTCTTTTTTCAATAAAAGCTTATACGCATTTCATCTTTATAGTGCAAATACCTGGGATTGTCGCTATGTTTACTCCAGGAGAACCATCAACAGCAGGTAAAAATACAATATACAAGGGTATGTTTTGTGTCAGAGTGAGATCTCAGTTGGTTCACCTGTGTCTTTTACGAATCGTTTAAACATTTTAAGGTGAACCATTGCCTCTCCTGGCTAAGATACTCATTCCCGTGTTTGGAGTCCTATTAGTGGTAGTGGTTGGAGTCGCTTGGTGTTGCTGTGTACGAGGAAAGGAAAGAGAAAACTTCGAAAACCTGATCATTGAATCAACTCTGATGGTACGTAACCACTATGAAACTGATCGTGCGTTCGATGACAAGCTTAGCATAAAACTTAAGGGAATTATTAAAAAAAAAAAAACAAAAAAAACACTGGCGAAGTCTCTGTTTGTTGGTGGAACTTAAGTTAAAACACTGTGCTTAACAAAATACGAATACTTTAAGGCCAAGAGGGTTGTCCCTATCTGCTCACTGGTTTTCGCCTGTTTAAGCTTTACATGTGACTTATTTTCCTCATGTGTTGCTAGGTGAGACTTGATGTGACCGAAAATCGTCGAGTGTCCTGTTAATTCCATGCCGTGGTATTCCTGTGCCAAGGTTTTAGGTGATAAGATAAACGCGAAGGACACAAAAGATAAGAATAATTCTCAACAACATCATAACCTGTCATGTCTCACTAACCACTGTATCGAGATTAAACATTTTAAGGCAAGAAGTGAATTACATTATAATCTAAGAGTTTGAACTGTAATTTTATAATCTGCCCATTTTCATTTGTCACTCTTGTCATGTTATCGACCTATCGGGTGATAAGCCAATGAGAAGTCTAAGAACTGCTACAAGCAGACTCTGATATATGAGAGGACAAGAAACTACCATCAGGGATCAGTAATTATTTTTCGCCTGGAGGATCACACGGTTTTCAAGGAGAACGGAGTGGGGAGCAGTCGTCGCTAACAGAGTATAAAGGGGGGACTAGAAAATTGACTGGCAATGAGGGGGATCAGAAAAATACTTCAGAGCCTTAGAGGGGGGGATCAGGCAAAATTTTATTGTGACGCAACCAAAATCCTCTGACCCCCAACAGGTGATAAATACGACCGGCCCTCAAAATAAATAAAAACATTTCTGTACGTCAGGTGAACATAAATGTTCTTTGTAACACATCGATAAAATTTCTAACATGTATGAAACACTGAGTGGAATTTATCATTTTTGTCAATTTTATTGTTGATGTTCATTTCTGTATGATGATACTCCGAGAAAGATAGCATATCATTCATCATTAGATGTCAGGTGACCTTTCAGAGGAACTGCACTGTATGACCTTCAGCTGAAGGTGCCTATCACGTGGCTCAAAGCGTGACATGAAAACGAGTCTGAACGCCCGCCGGAAGTGCGCAAGTCTGAAGTTGAATATCAGAGGGTTGGCTGCGGGGTTTAGATAAACGAACGGGAGGAAAAATCTTACACCGGCGAAAAACCAATCCTGCTCTCTGTATTCGGGCAAATAGAGATCTATTAGTTTAAAGATGAGATAAGGAAGTAGAGATGTTACAAAACAAAACACTATCAGTTGTGTGGTGACTGCCAAAGTCTTCTCTCTCTGTCTACGTTTTGATTCAACACCAGAGTAATTTGATAGCCTTACAGAACCTTCCAACAGACATTCTGTTTTCCTGTTGTGCAGTCTTATTACCATAACAAGCGCTATATTTACAGCGATCAATGCCAAGAAGGGTGCAGTAACAGTCAAGTGAAAGCGTAAAGGTGTACTCCTCCAATTAGACCCCGCTAAATTTGATAAACTGAAGGTAAGAGAGTAAACCACCACGGCTGCCACAGCAATGACACCTCTCCGTACCGTGGACTTTTGCCGATAGTCGATTGGAAAAGCTACAGCAAAGAGCCTCTCACAAGACAGCAACAACGCTAACATATTTGCCGTACAAATTGTGAACCCAGCGAAAACTGCTGCGAACATTGTACCTTCCAGTGAGGAAGAATTCTCTTTTCCAAGTGCGCACAAAATATAATTGTAGATAACACAAATTCCTGTCACACTTCCACTCAAAAAGTCCATCAGCGCTAGAGCGGCTATGTACACCACTATAGGCTTCCTGAAGCATCTTGAGGGATCTTTGTACAGAACAACGAGGAGTAAACCATTAGCGACAGATGCAACAGAGCAAAATAAAACGAGAAAAATCAGCCCCGTTGTGCAGATTGCCACTCTAAAGTCGCTTTCCATTTCTCCGAATACCAACAATGAACGTCTCTAGCAAGTTCACAATGTCATCTGCTTCCGTGCGCTACAAAAATAAGAACAAAGTAAAAAAAAAAATCAAAGTTAGTAATGTGCCCACTCCAAAATTCTTCCTCCCTTTTGACCCCTAAGAGTGACTGGCATCTAATTTCTTCTTACAGTATCAGCCCTGAATCACATATTAAGGTCAGAAGAATAAAGGAAATGATCACCACTGACAGAGCTCATGATTGTTAAACAAATTCTCCTTGTCAGTACCTTAGGAAATGAATGGAGAACAGTGTGGAGAATATGCATACTGATGTTAGGGTGTCAAGGGTTAAAGAAAATGTAAACGACATATTCATTCATCCCTCAGCATCTCAGTAAAAAACTCATCATTGAGGTTCCATTGATTATTCCTGATCTAAAAAGCCATTTCTAGTTCTAAACAATGTTGAAAATTTGTCATAATTACAGCGATAACTAATACATATATTCACGATGACTTGCGACTGAGGTTTTCACTTCTCGATGAAAGATAAACTGTTTCCCAGCATGAAATCTGGGTTGGTACGAATGGTTATGTTGGCAGACTAAGACCAGTTCGATTATATTGCTGTGAGAACTAAACACAATTGAGATTTCTGTCCTTATGCTTATCTTTTGTTCGTTTGAAATTCACTAATGCCATTTGCACTTAACGAAATGATTTACAATTGAACCCGAGCAATTAGATACTCATTAAAAGGTTTTAAAAGAAATTACGTAAAGCATGTCTTGACAGCGCTATCCCGCGGATTTTGACGAAAGATTGTTTTGTTGGTTCAATTAAAAGGGAATACAAGGCTTGTTTCTTCGATTCCTTAAATAACAAATACATTTTGCTTACTCCAAATTGATAACTCTTACGCTATAGAATTCAGATTTTCGTTGAGTTGGAGATTGGAATGGTAGTTTTTGAGTTGGGAAACTTTGTATACAATTCCTCTGATGATGAAATAACTATTTTTTTTAACATTCTTAAGATAGATGTTAGTGTTGAGTTACTCTCCGTCCAGCAATGATGATTGGAGTCCATGTTGCATCAAAAAGAAGCATTGAGTTATGCAGCTGTCATAATTTGAGATCGATTCCTCAAAACCCAATAGACGAAGTACATAACTCTAACTCTCTTAACGACCTGTGCGTTGAGCTTATTTCACGATGAATTTGGGACAAATGTATTATGGGTAACTTATTGCAAGTTGTATAAATGTGTGAACTAACCTGTGTAGAGAACGCTACCTAACACTTTCCTCTGAACCTCATTGACGAGCAGCTACATAATTTACCGGAATGTCACACAATTTTATGTCATACATTCAGGGGAGCGTAAAAAAAGGACTGGGGCAAAGTGAACTTTTCTGACAAGCAGCTGCATTATAAATTAACAGGAATGTCACACAATATATTATGTCACGCATTCAGGGGAACGTAAAGAAGAACTGAGGAGACGTTTTAACGGAGACAAGAAGAAAAATTTTTAAAATAAATAAAGAATTAACTGCTTCAGTTGTCATAATTGAGATGTTTGAAGAGAAGATGATGGCATCCAGTTGTGTTTTCCCAATCATCGAGGCTAAGGGAGACTTATTTCCCTGAACAGACCTGAACAATTAGTCAACAAAGTTCAAGAAGCAGGGGATCATTTCTAACATGTTTCGCGATGATTTTTAGTTTGATTCAACCATTTTCGTATCTGAAGTATTTCGCAAACAGGCAAGGCTAGCAAGGGTGAATTCGCATTGGTCAAGATATTGATCAATGCGAATTCACCCTTTATTCAAATTAGAAAATTCATAAAATCTGTAAAATTACAGCAATGTTATGTCCGCGTGAAAATCGGACCAATAAGTTATCATTGAAATACGAGGGACCCAACGCAGCAAGAACGGCAGCGTTGTGGAAAAAGTCGTTCAAAAAATGAATTTACAGTTTGGGTTAAAATTTCGCAGATGGCTGGATTTGTTTCCAGCTTCTTACAGCGCCACACCTCAACTTAAACATAACAATTCGTGGTGTTGAGTTGCACTTATAAAGTTAATTAATTTACCATGGGGTTTCTGTTCTCAGTCCAAGCAAATTCTGGACGTTTCACGTTGTTGTTTTGCAAAGTTTTAAAACGCACGCGCTGAGCTTTTGTTTTGCTCGTTTACTGTGTTTTGTTTTGCCACGTCCTCGTTGCCGTCGCCGTCATGGTGTGCTTACAGGACCCCATGGTCATATAGTCGAGAAACACGAAACTTTCGATTTTGTCCTGACATTGAATATAGACCAAATTACAATTGGCTTACATGTTAGTTGTGCATTCATTGAAATATGAAGCACATGGGAAATTTGGGAAACGTGACAGATGCTTAAGAATTCCTCAGTGTGTGTCAGGAAATTCCCTCTGGCACGCAATGTGCACGCATACGTCATTAGCGTTTGCACCTGGCTAGATGATAGTGAAGTACGTGAAGTACAATTTCTCTTAGTTTTCAATTCATAAATTTATATGGTTTGAAGAAATTTTGACAAATTTGACTCATACACTCTCCCAGGTTCGTAAAACGTCTTTTTTAGGGGTGATCAGTAGCTATGAACCACTTCTTATAAAGCAAAGTCTCTATATATCCATGTTATGAAAGTCGGTCCCTCAACCTCAACGACCTCAATATTATTTTTATTTCAAATTAACTGAGGCAATCGTAAAAATTTACATGGAACATTTCTGCAATATAGCTACTTCTTCCTTTCAAATGGGTTTACTTCAATTCAAGGGCATGCGAAATTTGTTGATAAATTAATCATCAATCGGTAGACACGATCCCCTGCCAAAAGCAAAAGACACGAAATCTTCTTTTTAGCCACTATCAGGAGCCCACAAAGGGTTCCTGTCTCTATTTACTCATTTTTTTATAATTTATCACTGTAAGATTTGGTGAGTGGAACATATTTGGAAACATGATATTCAATAGAGTCGACGGTTCGGGTTGTTTTAATGAAGTTAGCACCTGCTTGATTTGCATTACAACAGAACAGATAGGTTTTGTTGAAAGAACTAATTCAGTATGTCAAAATTCAAAGGTGAGATATTCAAGTATCAGAAACAGTTTTCGTCGATTTTTGTATGAAATAGAGGAAAGAAACTTTTATACAGTCGTAATTAGGAGCAAAAACATGATAATTAATAAACCTGAAATATTTGCTATAATTTAATTAAAAATTTTACGTTGTGATGAATCTATATCAGTTTGGAGATTATATCCCCTCAGTGGGACTTCAGGGTTAGGTATTATTTATTATGTACACACATTTTTGGGTCAGTTCATTCCATGTTCCTTCGAACGAAACGTATGGGCAGATCCGCGTAAAGACAAAAAAGTCGTTAGCTTTGCCAATTGTGTATTCATTTTCGAGTTTTTTTTTCTTGGAATAAGACAACCACGCAATGCTAATCTGTTTAAAGAAAAGTATCACGTACTTTACTAGTCTTCCTGATCGGTGTTAAAAGGACCATTTGTTTTATAAATTTACAGCGATGTCAACTGAGGACCATCTTATATTGAATTCTTTAAGCGTAAGTACACCTGTCCAACTGCTTCTTTCTGATCACAGCATTTGTTACAACTAGTTGGATTTTAACCCAAAAAAATCGTGTCGCTGTCATTAATTTTCGGGGCAGTTTAAGCCTGAGACAAGAGGTCTTTCGTGATATTTTTTTGTTTGCATTTGGTTGGACAAGCTCGCGCTTGAAATTTTTCTAGTAGTTTACTCAGTGGTGCCGTAGTTATACGAGCATTGAGCAATCTACCGAATATCAAAACATCTAGAGTCAAGAGCCTGAACAAAATTGAAATTCATCCTCACAGTTTCAGTCATCAAATATTTTATTACTCTTCTACAATGACTATGTTAATTTTCTCCTAAAAAGGAGCTGACTAAACTTCCGTAGAAAAATTTTTCTTTAAATTCTAAACGTCTTAAAAAGTCTAAAACGTTGATTATATAGTTTCTGACTTTCAAACGCAGGTGATGATACAAACTGGGATATTGATTTTGCTGTTAGGAGTCTCCAATGTAACAGCAGGTATGTATAAACAAATAAGCTGCAATCCACAAAAATTCGCGCGGTATTCAACTGTGGAAATTTTTTGGTAGACTATATCTGAAAAACATTTCGCCGTCCTTAAATGATGGTGTTGAAGATTTGAGAATCATTGCATATCTCATTGCTCGTCTCAAGAGTCCTAGATGAAAAACACGCAAAATAGTCTATGTCGTACAAAATTTGTGTGACTTTCACAAGGCTGAAACTAAGTCTTTGAGGACAAAGAGATAAGTTGTTTCGACCAATCCTGTCAATGACACTTCACAGCAAGGAGACTGGTGCGAAAATAAACTCTCTCGTGCCAAGCCCCCGTCGGCTTAAAATTCTCACAGGTTCATTGAGAATCTGTAGGTAACGAACTATTTTATCAAATTTTAACCACAGCTGACTTGGCATTGGGACAACCGGCAAACATGATCTTTCCTTGCGAATCAGAAGCTGCATTGGCTGTTGAAGGCACATCAGCAGGGTGTGCAGTAACCACTCTTCTCACGGACCCCTGGTGGCGTGTAGATCTGGGGACGAGTTACGTTGTCGATGTAGTAGACATTATAGCCGGTGCAGATGGATTAACAGATTTTGAAATACGAGTCGGTGAGTGGTCCAAATCATACAACAAAACATCTGGTAATTTGGTATTATTAACTGAGTTGATAGCGTAAATTGGCCACCTTAAAGAGTTTAAAAGCTAACGTTTTGAGCGTTAGCCCTTCGTCAGAGCGATAACCGGACATCCGCTCAGTCTTCCAGAAGTTCTTCTTTGATGGCTGGTTAGAACAAAGGAAAGAAGGAGAAGCCGATAGGATTCCAGGGTTATAGTTTCAACCGCGTGAGAACGCGAATGACTAATTTGCGGTTGATTTTAGTTTTAAATCTGATTGGATGAGAGGGTGGCTTGAGTTCCCTAAACCAGTCGTAGCCCAGAATGTAACATTTAGTCGCCCCATCGGTATATTAGATGGAGAGGACAGTATTTATATCCACGGAGTAATTGGGGTCTTAATCAGAGCGTCAGTGCATACCTCTCCGATACTCGAATATGGTGTGAATTATATCATTATCGATTCTTTATTATTTCGTCACCAAAATATCAAAATGTTATGTCCCTACGCGTTTCTTATCAAAAGTGTTATGAAACAAGGAGAGATCAAGTCAGTTCTATCCTTTATTTCCGTCTACTAACTCTACATTTTATTATTTCCCCAGGCGACAATCTTGATAATGAAGGAAACTTAAACCAAAAGTGTGGAGGACCATACACTTTGACTTCTTCACAGGAAAAGTCGTTCTCAATTCAATTTTCAATTCAATTCAATTCAATTTTATTTGTTAGCAATACAATATTATCACAGTCCTAGGTGACCCGCAATTAGCAAGCTATTCTAGGCGGGCCACCCTTCTAAAACAAGTGCTGTCTCTGCTAAGGATCACATACCGATACAATTAAACAAAGATAATCATTAATAAAAATACAATTGTTAAATAAAATAAAATAAAATTAAGTCCGTTGAATAATTAAATAATCAATTGCAAAGTTATCAAGATATATAATACAATTGAAACAAGACTTAAACGAAGAGTTACTTTATCAAGAGATATTTACAAATTTCTGAGCAGCGTATATCAACATTCATCTCCTCATTTTCCAAAAGTTTTAACAGGCGATTTTTAAGTTCACGCTTAAACGGGGTTCTGTTTTTAATACGAAGTTCTTTTGGGATGCTATTCCACAATCTTACACCTATTCTAGCAAAAGAAAATAAAAGTTGGTTAGTTCTAGACGCTTTAACGTACAGATTAGCCGTTGCTGAGAATCTTGTGAAATGGTGATGAACCTGCTCGGAGTGGATAAAGAGCATAGAAATATTAGACGGGGCACGGTGATTATCAATGTCATGCATCAAAGAGGAAACCAAATGAGAATAGAGCATAGTTATTGGTAAGATTCTGGAGTTAACAAATAGCGGGGCACTATGAGATTTGCTATCCGCAAAATACATTAGTCGTAGAGCACGTTTTTGTAAAATGAGAACCTTATTTAAATGAGTGTTAGCAGCTTGTCCCCAGGCAATAAGACCATAAGAGATATAGGGTTCAATTAAGGAGCGGTAGATGTTAAGAAGTGTGGCAAATGGGACAAGATGTCTTAACCTGGCAATTATACCAATTCCTTTACTAACTTTAGATGAGATATAATCAATATGATACTTCCAAGAGAGGTTATTATCTATCAGAATTCCTAGATATTTCACAAAAGTTTTTTGTTCTAGAGATACACTTTTTTTAAGATCGTTATTATAAATTTTCAAGTGAACTATGTAGTCCAATTTGCGTTGGTAAGGATGGAAAATAACAAAGTTAGATTTACTAGTGTTAAGAGAAAGTTTGTTTGCGTCCAACCAGTCACCCACTTTTGCGAGTTCATCATTAACAACTTTTTCAAGATCCTTAAGATCTTTGTTTGAATAAAGCAAGTTAGTATCGTCAGCAAATAGGTAAAACTCAAAAATCTGGGAGCAACGGTAAATGTCGTTAACATAAATCAAAAAGAGAAGGGGGCCAAGTACAGACCCTTGAGGGACACCACAAACTATCTCTTCTATATTCGACACGGTTGAACCAATTTGAGTCGACTGGTTCCTGTTCAACAAGTACGAAGAGAACCAGTTATTAATTATTCCTCTGACTCCATAATGATATAATTTGTGCAGTAAGATTGAGTGATCCACCGTATCAAAAGCCTTTTTTAGGTCAATAAAAATACCACAAGAGAATAACTTTGCATCAATATTAGTTTGAATTTTGCTTAAGATATCTAAAATTGCATGTTGGGTTGAACACTTGTCTCTAAATCCATATTGAGAAGTAAAAAAGATACCGTTTTTTTCGCAATGTGATTTAAGACGTTTAGCCATCAATTTCTCAAATAATCGATTGAAGACAGAAAGGAGGGAAATTGGGCGGTAATTACATGGATCAGTTTCGTCTCCCGATTTGTAGATAGGAATTACTTTGGCATGCTTCAAAAGATGGGGATAAATACCCGTTGAGATAGACTTATTCATCATGGCAGCTAAGAGTGGAGAAAGGATATGGCGCCCAGATTTTAGAAGATGAACCGGGCAAGAATATAGGCCATATACTTTATTACTGGGTATAGCCAAGATTTCCAAGTCCACCTCGGATGGAACGACGGGATCAAAAAAGAAAGACTTAAAGTGATTAGTGCCGACAAGGTAGTCCTGGAAATTTATCCTGGAAGGTGATATATTGCGTGCAAGCCGCGGTCCAATAGACGCAAAGTACTGATTAAAGATATTGGTTATTTCAGACGGATTTTGTGTTACTCCAGAGTTGTTAGAGCGTTGAAGGGCTGATACTGTTTTTCTGTTACGCTGTCTGTTCAATAGTTCATTAATCCCCTCCCACGTTTTTTTAACATTTCTTAGATTTGTAGTGAAGTAAGCTTCATAATACAATCTTTTACTGAGACGAGAAAGACTAACAATTCTATTCCTATACAGCTTATATTTTGAGATATCTCCTGAATAAAAGAGTCTATTCTTTATTTTGATAGATTTACGTAGGCCCTTAGTTATCCACGGTTTGGAAAATTGTTTAGCCTTGCGCCTAGATAAAATTTTGAGAGGAGCGTGTTTATTAATGAGCTTGTTAAATTTATTGTAAAAGGAAGAGAAGCATTTGTCTACAGATCCATATGTCATTGAGTTATCCCAATCAGTATCCAAGACATCATTAATAAAGCATTCTTCAGAGAAGTTGGAATAATCGCGAATTTTATGTTTAGCAGTAAAATTTTTTGGTATAAGACTGTGGATAAAACAAAATTGGGAGTAGTGATCACTAATGTCTGACACGATATTTCCACCTGAAATTTTATGATCAAATCTATTCAGAAATATATTATCAATGAGTGTGGCAGAATTATTGTAGACTCTAGTTGGTTTATCAATTACCGGGAAGAATGAATAACATTGTAAAGATAACAAAAAATTTTGGGAGTAATCGGAAATTTCAGATTTGAGGAGATCAATATTGAAATCGCCCATGAGATAAACAACTTTATCAGAGGAGCTAAGTTTTTCTAAAGTAAAGTCAACATATTGGAGGAATTGTTCCGGATCATTATGCTGCCTATAAATCACTCCACAAACGATATTTTTACTCTTTAGGGATTCAATTTCGATCCATAGAGCCTGAAAAGCGTCTTTAGATGTTCTCTCCAGAACCTTATATTTCAAACAATTATTAATGTACATTCCAACACCACCACATGATAGAGGTGTTGGGACATATTCAAACTGATAGTTTGGTATGCAGGCATTGAAATCTAGCCCAGATGAATTTGTAATTTTTGTTTCAGTAATACCGATTACACTGAATTGGTAGTCAAGTTCATCTAAAAGATGGACTTGAAAATTATCAATGTTTTTCCGCAAACTTCTTACGTTAGTATGAAGCATAGAGAAAGGACATTGACTATCTGATTCCAACAAAGACTCTTTAAACATAGAAAAACTATAGGGTGAGAAATATTTACATCTAATTTGTTGCATGCTTAAGTTTCTGTCGGGATTTAATGTTGATTCGGTATTTAAGCGAAACAAATCTAAATCATAAATACTATGAAGTTTGTCTAAGTACTTCTTGGTCGGTAAGTCACTGTTGAGAATGTTATTAAACTGTCCATGAGCTCTAATAATTTCAACATTCGCGTATGGAAGTTCGCTTAGGGTAGATTTAATTGTACAACGAACACGTTTCTTGCTAACACTCATACTTATTATCTAAAAACAGACAAACAACTCTACATCAACATGAATACTTAGCCTTCACGTCCATTCGTTAATCGGTGCAGGTCCGTGATATCCTTAATCTTGATGGCTCGAGACGTGGTATCTTTACGAAGATAAACAAGCGATCCCTTCGACCAGCAATACTGATAGTGATACTGCTCCTTGAACCTCTTAGCTTCAAATAAAACCTTTTGCATCCTTGGCGTTAAATGGTCAAAAATTCTAACAGCGGAAAGGGAGGCATCGTCAGGTAAACCAACAGCAGATGGGGCAACTTTACTTGCATTTCTTTTATGATTCATGACATCATCTTTTGACAATCGTCTAATAAATCGGCAAATGATTGGCCGCGGGCCGCCATTGTCATTGCTTCTCGTTGGGACTCGATGGGCTGTGTCAATGTCATGAATTGAGACAGCGGATCCAATTGCCTTAAATAAACATTCACATAGCGCACTCGTAGAAGCCGAGGATTCATCTTGACTCAATTGAGGGACACCAACAATCTTAACATTATATTGATAACTGTACTCTTGAAATTCATCGATGCTCCTGGAAACTCTGTTAACTTCAACAGCAATCTCATCCAGCATGGCACCTAAGCGATCAAGTTCTTTACCAGCAGAGACCCTGAATCGCTCAAAGTCATCATATTCTTTACTCATGAATTCTAAGCTTTGCTCTACTTCGTCATTAGTCGCTGCAGGTTTTTTTGACTGCTCCAGCAGCAACACCTTCATCTTAGCAATCTCATCCGCCATGACAGACAGTTGATCTTTAAGCTTACTGTTCTCTCTCTTAAGGCTAGCAACAGACTCGGGCATTCTTGAATCTCTCAGAAAGCAAAAAAAGAAAAACGATCGTGAAAAAAGAAACGAAAAATTATCCAAAACGAAACGAAAAATTATCCAAACTTGATTAAGATTAGCGGAGCTCGTAAAGTAACGTCCGTCCTGACCATACCTGACCTGAAGGGTCGGTATGTGAACATCCAAATAGCGGGAAACAACAAGAAGCTGGCCATCTGTGAGGTGTCAGTTAATCCTAATCCAACAGGTGGGCTCTGAACTTCGTCCTTGCAAATAGGAAGGAGGAAGAAATGTAAAGGTAGTGGGTACAAAACTAGCGAGAAAGGTAGGAAGTGGGGTAGTGAGGAAAATAATGGATCGCCCTGACGAAGGGCTAACGCTCGAAACGTCAGTCTTTAAAGTCTTTATGGTGGCCAATTTACGTTTTCAACTCAGTTGTTAACACTACAGCTTCTTTAGAACCTCTATTAGTGAGGTAAATAGTTGGGTAAAAGAAAGAAATACAGGTTGGTAGGGAGATAGATAATCAGATAGGTAGGCAGTATGAGAGCGAGAGTGTGAAGGAGGTAGGCAGGTAAGCAGGGCAGGCAGGTGAAACAGGAGGCAGGGAGGTAGCAGGGTAGGCATCTGGGTCTGCAGTCTGATCGTCCGGGTGAGGGTAGCCATAGAAAGACTGTTGTCGCTAGTGGTAACTGAGGTTTCGACAACCTTAGCGGAAGTCATGAGCCGAGTCGGGTGAGGACTATTTCTAAGTTATTAGTAGTGGAAATTTGAGTTGGTTTTCCTGTGGCGAAGCTGTTAGGAGTGGGTTCATGTGAGCTTTGAAATTTTATTTCTCTCAGCACAGTCAGTCACTTTCGTTTCTACTTTATCAGTAAACCTTGCTTTGAGCAAGTCAGCATATCAGTCCTCTGTCTCCTTCGATGGTTACCCTGTGCGAGCAGTGGATGGAAATACTGACAGTGTCTGGAGCTCAAGCAGTTGTACACATACAAATGAAACAACAGATCCCTGGTGGCGTGCGGATCTGGGATCAAGTCAGCACGTGTCAGAGGTGTTCATAGTCAACAGAGTAGAGGCTAAATTTAGGCTTTTCAACATAGAAATTCGTGTCGGTAAGTTAAATATTCCCTGGAATATAATTAATTTCATATCATTATTTCATCTTATTTACAAGCCCCCATTCAAATCAGCTTGCAACTGAACTGCCCCAGTCTGATAAATATTACGATAAATAAATACAAGACAAAAAAATAGATTTGGTTCAAATTTATGTTAAGATATATACAATAAATGTCATCAACTTTATCTTACGATTAGCATGGTGGCCATGTTATTTAGATAAACTATTTTGTTACACCTACCAACACAAATAAGTTTTCCTATTGGAGGAGAACGCAAGGCAAAGAAAACTCACTAACTCCCAAGGGAACAATAACCTAAACTTTCGACTCGCACGTGAGCATGTCGGGGACCTTAAGACCTCGGCAAAACTGTGCGCCACCCCGAGTCAAGAAAGTTCCATTTTTTTCAGTGATTCTCTAGAGTTTGAAGGTAAATAAAAACACTTAATGAATGGCCCTACATGAAATGATAAGTTTTATTTTCCCTCAAGGAAACAACGTCACGGTTTCCCTTGGGGCCAGCTTTAAGTATAGCATTAACCTTGATTAACTGCACTTCTTCGACTTCAACGATCAGCGAAGTCTTCTAAAAGAAGTTTTTTTTATCCCTCAGGAGATAGTTTGGCAAATAATGGAAACTCCAATCCGAGGTGTGGTGGCTTGCATTCGATGGCTAATTTACTCAAAGCTTCGTTTTATTGCAAACCGAGAAAAACTGGACGATACGTAAATATCAGACTGGTGGGAAGTAGGATGTTTCTGACTTTGTGCGAAGTGGAGGTGTATTCCGAAAGCAGAGGTATCTCAGAGTTTAACCTCTTAATTAAACTCTCAGAAGTACTTCTTATGTAACTTCTCCCTGTAATATCCATACAATATTCAGCAAAGAGGCAATGAGAAAACTCAAACTTATCAGGAAGAAGTTGTCATCTTGATCTAACACGAAATTCTCGTAAATAAATTACGTGGAAAAATTAACAGCGATAGCGGAGAATTAATCATCAGATGTTGAAAATTAAAGGGTTAAATCTAAAAAGCTTTCCGCATGCTCATAAATTGACGCACTTTAATTAAAATTCTTTCTCTATAGCTAAATGTTGGGGGGGTGGGGGAGAGGAAAGAGCGAATTGGTAGGGAGGGGGGGAGAAGAAGAGTTGTAGATCAATGGCTCAATAATGGATATCACAAGAGCCTCGTCCGTGTCCATTTGGTCGTGGTAGACAAACAGCTCGTTGTTAATTCCTAATCCCAGTCCGCAGCCCTTAGTTACAGCACTTACAGTAAGATTGTAACTGAATACGAACGTAAATAGTTGGCTTTCTAGAGGGATTAAAAAAGATGATAACAGCATCTTCCTCATTCTAGCCATTCTGAAATACAAGCCAGTAAAACACTCAGTGCAGGACGCCTATTACCAAACTTCTATAACTCTGGTCTGTCCAGAGCCTTTCGGTTATCCTGAACCGTTTGTAGCCTGGGTAAAAAATGGTGTCGTCCTTCAAAACAGCTCATCCGACTTGACACTGAATCTGTCAATCACTGCTCAAAGGAATACTACCAAGTGGACAATTGACTGTGTGGCCAGCAACAAACATGGCGCTGATTATCACAGATTTGTTTTGAACTTGCACAGTAAGTAAAAGAACCGGACCGTTTCATAAGCGAGAGCCAGGCGTGGATCTTTTAATGGAAAACTCTGCTAGGCAGTCCAAGAATGAATTCAATGCTCAGAATATAGTTTATCAGTTATGTCCTGCGATCAGTCCTTTTCTTTAAATTAGCGGCTTTATCGTTGCGTTTTTGATATCTGATACATATTTGTGTTCACGGATTTCTCTAATAAAGTCAGCATCGGAAAGCATGCGGTGTGTATGAGTTCCAAATATCACGTATTGACAAATTTTATTTGAATTTTCAATTTTAGTTGACAAGTTTTTACCCAAATTGACCGAGTTTTTTTTCAAGAAAACTACTCAAACAATGTGGGAGACACAGTGGACAAGTCTCCTGATAGTCAGTACACTGGAATCCCGGTCAAGAGGTCTGGGTTCCATACCTGGTCACGTCAATGCGTTTTGTTCATGGGCAAGACACTTTACTCTCACAGTGCATCTCTCCACCCAGAATGCAAATGGGTACCGGCGAATTTTCAGGGAAGCCTGGTGAAATGTTGAGGGGTAACCATGTGATGAACTAGCATTCCATCCAGGAGGAATGGGGGGGGGGGGGTAGGGGGTAGTACTACTCCTAGTCGCTACATGCTATGGAAACCGGGATAAGGTCCGATTGGATGGGCCAGTAGGCTCGAGTACAGACTTTATCTTACTTATCTTCACTAAAAGAATATGGAAAGATATCCTCTCTTTTATTCAAGGCAGATATGCGATGTGCACGGAATTCAGAGACCTAATGGAAGGGACTAGAACAGTTCGTCATGTAGTGCATAACCAACAGTCGGCACAAAATGATGGGGACATTGATAACCGTGCATGGTACCGCTTTGTTAGTCAAGCCACAGGAACCCCAGTGCAGGTCTGATCTAAGGTTACAATATTTTTCCGGTTAGAGGAGGAAGAGTAGAATTAAAAGCATTTGTAGAGGGGAGGTCTTGAGGTTGAGAGTTGAGACAGGGTGAGGCATAAAATAAAAGATACGTCCAGTTAAATGGTAAAATATTGCGTTTCCTGAATATGTAATGCAAACCGCTCTAGTATTTTTCACTGACCGACTGCAGGAAAAAATTAGGTCGGACAGTCTAGTCTCGCGAAGTTTCTGCACAAAATTAATGCGGAAATGTAACTGGGAGCTTGTAACCTCCTTGTCTTAACCAGTTTCCAAATCAAAGATAGAAAAACGAATTTTTAATTATTCTTTCCCCTTTATAAAGAGGTTATTAACGAATTACAGAAATTTAGAATATCTAAATTTCTCGCCAGCTACCGGACTCCTGCACGGAACCTTGGACTTGTGGAACTCAGGCCTCAGGCTGGCTTCGCGGGGGTCATCCATCAATGGAAGAGGGCCTTGTACACCGGAATGTTTGCTTTAGTTGGAATGACAATTGCTGCTTTGCCGAAGTGCAGGCGCTAGTCAGGCATTGCTATGGATACTATGTGTATAAGCTGCAGCCGACAGCTTTGGAATTCAAAGTGAAAGCCAGATATTGCGTAGGTTAGTAATCCATCGGTTGCCTTTACAATGATCATAAGACACTGTAGACTTCTTCTCAACAATTCTTAGGGCATGTTACTCCTCTTGTGCTATTAGCACAAATCTTAGTGACCGACTAAAGCTTTCCGACTTCTGATTGACTGATAAAACAGAATATAGAACTTGAGAGAACAATGCCGAAAACGAGTTTCTAAAAATATAAAAAATGTAAACATCAGTGACACACTCGGCTGCACCTCGTTAGCTCTTTTTTCGTTTTTACCGCATTTTGATGTCATCAGTGATCTTTTACTGAACAGAAGCACAATAATACGTATACTACTCGGTTGTGTAGACTCTAAGTGCCATATTTTCATTAATCTCTGTGATGTTATTTTCACCCTATATCAAAGAAAACCGAGCCATCCCTTATGAAGATGCTTTGTTTTACCAACCCGTTACAAAAACTGGTGTGCAGTCAGCATTGACAAATCACGCGATTCACAAGGAATATCACGTAACATCTTCATGGAAGTGTATGACCTATTGCCTCTCGGAGATGACGTGTGTGTCATTCAGCTACTTCCCCCAGAGTAACACATGTGAGCTTAACAACAGCACTGAATCGAGTAACCCGGAAGGTTTGAGAAAGAGACCTGGGACCGAATATTACGAAAAGAGAAGTCATTCATCATTCTTAGGTTGAGAAGCTGGTTCAAACAAGAATGGAATTAACTGTGAAATTTCTAGATGGTAAGAGAGCAAGTTTTCCTATGCGGAACACTTTGGCATAGAATGTTAGTATTTATTGTCAAAGCTGCGATGGAAACAGACTCATTTGAAGCGGTGTAAGGAAAGCCCTTCATAGTATGTTACATCAACACAACATTTCACACTTTGTAAAATATTTTTCTTTTAATTTTCCGAGTCAGTTTTTCATTTTTACAGTTTAGACGCAGGATAAGAGAAACAATTACACATAGCAACTAATAACAAAAGTAAAGAAATCCGAAGGTCTGGATTAAGTTCAATCACGTTCTATCCAAGTTTAACCAAACAAAACTCTGAAATCGGAGTTTTTTGTTTGTTGGTATTTTTGTCTCTCATTTCTGGCAAGACGAATAAAATGTCTTCTTATTCGACCTCTAAGATCAAATTTTGCTATCTTTCCTATCTTACATTCACACAAAACAACAAACCTGTGAAGTTGCATTAACATATTTGCGTAAGTAATGCAGCCTGTTATGTAGGCTATACGAGTTTTTACGACACTTACCTCACCAACTGGCACCATTTAGTTTACCTATGAATGTTCTGATATTTGAGGCGAAGGATTTTACGTACAATGGAATTGCCGGCACTATCTTCTGAAGTGCCTGTTCATGTTCATTCACCGATTGATGGTGCTACTCAGGTACAGTAAAAACGCGATGGCAAGATACCCATGTCGTGCGAAGGTATTTTCCTTGCTTTTGACATTGATGAAATCCATAATGTAAACTGGAAGCCAACAAGATGCAAAGCCGAGCAGAACCATCTCTAAAGTCTATGTCACTTTTGCTTCTTCCACTTTCGCCCGGAACGCTGAGGGTTATTTTTGAGCGAGAAAACACGATTTTATCTCGAAACAGCGTGAAATACTTTGACGCAGCAGACCGTAATAATGGCGAAAGGAGTGGCGATATCAAAAACGTTGCTAAAGATTATGAAAGCTGTGTCATCTTCGAATGTGATCAAGCACATTGCCTCGCGTGAAGGAAACTGAAATCTGCCGCTCTCAAATGTAAAGAATAGAGGCGCAGATCCAACGAAAGCCAAACACCAACACATAACAATGTTAATCAAATTTGTTTTCTTCGTAAACAACACACGATACCTTCCAGGTTTCATGACGCAAAAATATCGACTTACTGAAATGAAAGTTAGTAATGTGCCCACTCCAAAATTCTTCCTCCCTTTTGACCCCTAAGAGTTACTGGCATCTAATTTCTTCTTACAGTATCAGCCCTGAATCACATATTAAGGTCAGAAGAATAAAGGAAATGATCACCACTGACAGAGCTCATGATTGTTAAACAAATTCTCCTTGTCACTACCTTAGGAAATGAATGGAGAACAGTGTGGAGAATATGCATACTGATGTTAGTGTGTCAAGGGTTAAAGAAAATGTAAACGGCATATTCATTCATCCCTCAGCATCTCAGTAAAAAACTCATCATTGAGGTTCCATTGATTATTCCTGATCTAAAAAGCCATTTATATTTCTAAACAATGTTGACAATTTGTCATAATTACAGCGATAACTATTACATATATTCACGATGACTTGCGACTGAGGTTTTCACCTCTCGATGAAAGATAACTGTTTTCCAGCATGAAATCTGGGTTGACACGAATGGTTATGTTGGCAGACTAAGACCAGTTCGATCATATTGCTGTGAGAACTAAACACAATTGAAATTTCTTTCCCTATGCTTGTCTTTTGTTCGCTTGAAATTAACTAATGCCACTAGCAATTAACGAAATGATTTACAATTGAAGCCAAGCAATTAGATACTCATTAAAAGGTTTCAAAAGAAATTGTGTAAAGCATGTCTTAACAGCGCTATCCCGCAGATTTTGACGAAAGATTGTTTTGTAGGTTCAATTAAAAAGGGAATACAAGGCTTGTTTCTTGGATTCCTTAAATCTAACAAATACATTTTGCTGACCCCAAATTGATAACTCTTATGCTATAGAATTCAGATTTTCGTTGAGTTGGAGATTGGAATGGTAGTTTTTGAGTTGGGAAACTTTGTATACAATACCTCTGATGATGAAATCACAGGCGGCCCAAGCTCACGTCTCGATTAATTCATGAATGCGTCACGCGTTGTGTGACTCAGTGTCAAGTTACGAGAGGAACCGTTGAAAATTTGAACACGTTACAAGGAATAGTATGGGGAACGAAATATAGTCGATTTACAACGATAAATATTTCGAAATATGAATATTTTACACGTAAAATCAATAAAATTTACTCATGCCCTGTGTGTCCGTTGTAGTTTCTGGCGATTTCTGCCGTTTTAAGCTTGCTTTACCATCACTGTTATCCATGTCTTCGTCTTTTGACATGGATAACAGTGATGGTAAAGCAAGCTTAAAACGGCAGAAATCACCGGAAACTACGACGGATACACAGGGCATGAGTAGGTTTCATTGATTTTACGCGTAAAATATTCATATTTCGAAATATTTATCGTTGTAAATCGACCATATTTCGTTCCCCATACTATTCCTTGTAACGTGTTCAAATTTTAAACGGTTCCTCTCGTAACTTAACACCGAGTCACACAACGCGTGACGCATTCATGAATTAATCAAGACGTGTGCTTGGGCCGCCTGTGATGAAATAACCATTTTTTTTTAACATTGTCAAGATAGATGTTAGTGTTGCGTTACTATCTCCTTCCAGCAATGATGATTGGAGTCCATGTTGCATCAAAAAGAAGCCATTGAGTTATGCAGCTGTCATAATTTGAGATCGAGACGAGGTAAACAACTCTAACTCTCTTAACAACCTGTATGTTGAGCTTATTTCATGATGAATCTGGCGCAAATGTATCATGGGTAACTTATCGCAAGTTGCACAAATGTGTGAACTAACCTGTGTAGGAAACACTACTTAACTCTTCCCTCTCAACCTCACTGACGAGCAGCTACATAATTTACAGGAATGTCACACAATTTTATGTCACGTATTCAGGGGAACGTGAAAAAAGATCTGGGGCAAAGTGGATAACAGGAATGTCACACAATATATTCCGTCACGCATTCCGGGAAACGCAAACAGAACTGAGGAGACGTTTTGCGGAGACAAGAAGAAAACTTTCTTAAGATAATTAAAGAATTAACTGCTTTAGTTGTCTGAATAGAATTTGATGGCATCTAGTTGTATTTTCCCAATCATCGAGGACTGAGAAAGACGTTCTTCCCTGAACAGACCCGAACAATTAGTCAACAATGTTCAAGAAGCAGGGAATCATTTCTAACATGTTTCGCGATGATTTTTAGTTTGATTCAACCATTTTCGTATCTGAAGTATTTCGCAAACAGGCAAGACTATTATCGAATTCGGTGTAGCTTGATTGATAGCTTCTAAACCACTGACACTCCGAACCTCGTCAAGATATCGACCAACGGCGAATTCACCCTTTATTTAAAATAGAAAATTCATAAAATCTGTAAAATTACAGCAATGTTATGTCCGCGTGAAAATCGGACCAATACGTTATCATTGAAATACGAGGGACCCAATGCAGCAAGGACGGCAGCGCTGTGGAAAAAGTCGTTCAAAAAATGAATTTACATTTTTGGCTAGAATTTCGCAAATGGCTGGATTTGTTTCCAGCTTCTTACGGCGCTACACCTCAACTTCAATTTAACATAAGTGACATAAGTTCGTGGTGTAGAGTTGCACGTAAAAAAATAATTAATTTACCATCGGGGTTTCCGTTCTCAGTCCACGCAAATTTTGGTAGTTTCACGTTGTTGTTTTGCAAACTTTCGATTTTGTCCTCACATGGAATATAGACCAAATTACAATTGGCTTACATGTCAGATGTGCATTCATTGAAATATGAAGCACACGGGAAATTTGGAAAACGTGACAGATGCTTAAAAGTTCCTCAGTGCGTGTCAGGAAATTCTCTCTGCCACGCAATGTACACGCATACGTCATTAGCGTTTGCACCTAACTAGACGATAGTGAAGCACGTGAAGTACAATTTCTCTTAGTTTTCAATTCATATATTTATATGTTTTGAAGAAATTTTGACAAATTTGACTCATTCACTCTTTCATGTTCGTAGCTATGAACCAAAGCAAAGTCTCTATATATCCAGGTTATGAAAATCTGTCCTTCAAAAATATTCTTTTTATTACTGGGATACCTGTGGTAGCCCAGTCATAAAATGCCTTTGTTTTTTTGTCGTCTTTTTTTTTTTTTTTTTTTTTTTCCTCCGCCACAAAATGGAAAAATTGCGCAATAGTACCCAGAGGTCATTGGGCCCTCAACACCATGACAACTAACTGTGATCCAATGAGGTGTTCACATGCTGATCACGCGTGCTATCTTGATGATGATTGACGTTGTCATGCACGGACAAGGCCGGGTCACATGACGAACACGAGATTTTTGCCCATAAAACTCTTTTGTCAGTCGTATTGTATTTCAATGTGTTTGGATTACGATCATCTGGAGCATTATGGCGCAAACGCTCAAAATACCTATAGACGCATACACAAGTGGTATTGTTCGCGGCCAATCCACACAAAAAGGTGTTATTGAGCGGTAATTTTGGAACGGACTGAATCGCGAACGCTTGAAAGCCATGAAAGCATTGAATGCCTTGTAATTGTCTTGTATGCTAAGTATGCCAATGTCTTAGTTGAAAACGTTACCTCGTTGTAAAAAGCAAAATCTGAAACCAAACTGCATATACCCTATGCAATCTATTGAACAACACTATTACCGTGAGACTGAAGAACAAAATTCAAATGGATGCAAACTGCTTGTGAAGAAAGACGCCATGTTGGATTCACTTGATGCCAGGGAACGTAGCTACGATAACAGTGCGAATGGTATTAATTTCACGATCAGAAAGGTGAATCTTATGTTTTTTTCATTGTAGTTGTATGGATATTCTTTTTTAATAAATACATGATCCAAAATCCCGTGTTTTTTTGTGTATAATGTTATTATGTCACGCGTTGTGTGACTCAGAGTAAGTTATGCTAGGAACCGTTGAAAATTTAAACATGTTATAAGGAATAGGGAACGAAATATGGTCGATTTACAACAATAAATATTTCGAAATATGAAGATTTTTCTCGTAAAATCAATGAAACTTACTCATACCCTGTGTATTCGTTGTAGTTTCTGGCGATTGTTGCCGTTTTAAGCTTGCTTTACCATCACTATTATTCACGTCATCTACTTTTATTACATTGGTAAAATCTGTACAGACATCCCACCAACCAACTATGTTGAAGGCTTGAAATTATATTACGATCGATTTTCATCAAGAAATGGGCCAGGAATTTTCCACAATAGTGTAAATAATCGTGAAGGCTGATCGCGGAAAAGCGATTGTGTGACGCTCGGTAGGCTGTAAGATGACATGTTATTATATACCAGACGTAAAAACTCTTCAGATTCTCAGTCTGCATTTTGTATCCGGTCTGCAGTCTGCTGTCTACATTTTGGACTAACAGGTATCCGCGGCACCAATACAGTTTATTTTTTTTTTCCTCCGCCACAAAATGGAAAAATTGCGCAATAGTACCCAGAGATCATTGGGCCCTCAACACCATGACAACTAACTGTGATCCAATGAGGTGTTCACATA